AAATTGGCCCAATAATTGGTGATATTTTGTACATTTTTGTATATTTCGAAGCACGATTCTGGAAGAACCAATGGAGTTACGGAAGAAATGAAAGCAGTTATGACTTCTGGGGCGCGAAATCTACCAGAAAATGTATTTATTGAAATTTCGAAAATTTTGTTGTAAATTGGTGATATTTTGTATATTTTTGTATATTTCGAAGGACGATTCTGGAAGAACCAATGGAGTTATCGAAGAAATGAAAGCGGATATAACTTCTGGGGCCCGAAATCTACAAGAAAATGAATTAAATAAAATTTAGAAAATTCTGTTGAAAATTGGTCCAATAAATGGTGGTATTTTGTATATTTTTGTATATTTCGAAGGACGATCGTGGAAGAACCAATTGAATTATCGAGGAAATGAAAGCGGATATGACTTCTGGGGCCCGAAGTCTACAAGAAAATGTATTTTGTGAAATTTCGAAAATTTTGTTGATAATTGGTCCAATAATTGGCGGTATTTTGTACATTTTTGTATATTTCGAATGACGATTCTGGAAGAACCAATGGATTTATCGAAGGAATGAAAGCGGATATGACTTCTGGGGCCTGAAATCTACAACAAAATGTATTAGGTGAAATTTCGAAAATTTTGTTGTAAATTGGTCCGATAATAATTGGTGGTATTTTGTACATTTTTGTATACTTCGAAGGACGATTCTGGAAGAACCATTGCAGACATCGAAGAAATGAAAGCGGATATGACTTCTGAGGCCCGAAATCTACAAGAAAATGTATTTTGTGAAATTTCGAAAATTTTGGTGGTATTTTGTACATTTTTGTATATTTCGAAGGACGGTTCTGGAAGAACTATTGGATTTACCGAGGAAATGAAAGCGGATATGACTTCTGCGGCCCGAAATCTACAAGAAAATGTATTTAGTGAAATTTCGAAAATTTTGTTGAAAATTGGTCTAATAATTGGCGGTATTTTGTACATTTTTGTATATTTCGAAGGCCGATTCTGGAAGAACCAATGGATTTATCCAAGAAATGAAAGCGGATATGACTTCTGGGTCCCGAAATCTACAAGTAAATGTATTTTGTGAAATTTCGAAAATTTTGTTAAAAATTGGTCGAATAATTGGTGGTATTTTGAACATTTTTGTATATTTCGAAGGACGATTCTAGGAGAATTATTGGAATTATCGAATAAATGAAAGCGGATATGTCTTCTGGGGCCCGAAATCCAGCAGAAAATGTAATTAGTGAAATTTCAAAAATTTTTTGAAAATTTGTTCATTATTTGGTTGTATTTTGCACATTTTTGTATTTTTCGATGGAGGATTCTGGAAGAAACATTGGAGTAATCGAAGAAATGAAAGCGGATATGACTTCGGCGGCCCGAAATCTACAAGAAAATGTATTTAGTAAAATTTCGAAAATTTTGTTGAAAATTTGTCCGATAATTTGTGGTATTTTGTACATTTTCGTATATTTCGAAGGACGATTCTGGAAGAATCATTGCAGATATCGAAGAAATGAAAGCGGATATTACTTCTGGGGCCCGAAATCTACAAGAAAATGTATTTAGTGAAATTACGAAAATTTTTAAAAATTGGTCCAATAATTGGTGGTATTTTGTACATTTTTGTATATTTCGAAGGACGATTCTGGAAGAACCATTGAAGTTATCGAAGAAATGAAAGCGGATATGACTTCTGGGTCCCGAAATCTACAAGTAAATGTATTTAGTGAAATTTCGAAAATTTTGTTAAAAATTGGTCGAATAATTGGTGGTATTTTGAACATTTTTGTATATTTCGAAGGACGATTCTAGGAGAATTATTGGAATTATCGAAGAAATGAAAGCGGATATGACTTCTGGGGCCCGAAATCCAGCGGAAAATGTAATTAATGAAATTTCAAAAATTTTTTGAAAATTTGTTCATTATTTGGTTGTATTTTGCACATTTTTGTATTTTTCGATGGAGGATTCTGGAAGAAACATTGGAGTAATCGAAGAAATGAAAGCGGATATGACTTCTGGGGCCCGAAATCTACAAGAAAATGGATTTAGTGAAATTTCGAAAATTTTGTTGAAAACTGGTGCAATAGTTGGTGGTATTTTGTACATTTTTGTACATTTCGAAAAACGATTCTGGAAGAACCATTGGAGTTATCGAAGAAATGAAAGCGGATATAAATTCTGGGGCTCGAAATCTACAAGAAAATGTATTTAGTGAAATTTCGAAAATTTTGTTGAAAATTTGTCCAATATTTGGTTGCATTTTGTAAATTTCTGTACTTTTCGAAAAACGATTCTGGAAGAATCATTAGAGTTATGGAAGAAATGAAAGCGGATATGACTTCTGGGGCCCGAAATCTACAAGAAAATTTTTTTAGTGAAATTTCGAAAATTTTGTCGAAAATTGGTCCGATTTTCAACAAAATTGTGTACATTTTTGTTTATTTCGAAGGATGATTCTGGAGGAACCATTGCAGATATCGAAGAAATGAATGCGGATATTACTTCTGGGGCCCGAAATCTACAAGAAAATGTATTTAGTGAAATTACGAAAATTTTTAAAAAGTGGTACAATAATTGGTGGTATTTTGTACATTTTTGTATATTTCGAAGGACGATTCTGGAAGAACCATTGAAGTTATCGAAGAATTGAAAGCGGATTTGACTTCTGGGGCCCGAAATCTACAAGAAAATGGATTTAGTGAGATTTCGAAAATTTTGTTGAAAACTGGTGCAATAGTTGGTGGTATTTTGTACATTTTTGTACATTTCGAAGGACGATTCTGGAAGAACCATTGGAGTTATCGAAGAAATGAAAGCGGATATAAATTCTGGGGCTCGAAATCTACAAGAAAATGTATTTAGTGAAATTTCGAAAATTTTGTTGAGAATTTGTCTAATATTTGGTTGCATTTTGTAAATTTCTGTATATTTCGAAAAACGATTCTGGAAGAATCATTGGAATTATGGAAGAAATGAAAGCGGATATGGCTTCTGGGGCCCGAAATCTACAAGAAAATGTATTTAGTGAAATTTCGAAAATTTTGTTGAAAATTGGTCCAATTTTCAACAAAATTGTGTACATTTTTGTTTATTTCGAAGGATGATTCTGGAGGAACCATTGCAGATATCGAAGAAATGAATGCGGATATGTATTCTGGGGCCCGAAATCTACAAAGGAGATGGATTAAATGTAATTTCGAAAATTTTGTTGAAAATTGGTCCAATAATTGGTGATATTTTGTACATATTTGTATATTTCGAAGGACGATTCTGGAAGAACCATAGTAGTTAACGAATAAATGAAAGCTGATATGACTTCTGGGGCCCGAAATCTACTAGAAAATATATTTAGAAAAATTTCGAAAATTTTGTTGAAAATTTGTCCGATAATTGGTGGTATTTTGGACATTTTTGTATATTTCGAAGGACGATTGTGGAAGAAGCTTTGGAGTTATCGATGAAATGAAAGCGGATATAAATTCTGCGGCCCGAAACTACAAGAAAATGTATTTAGTGAAATTTCGAAAATTTTGTTGAAAATGGGTCCAATGGTGGTATTTTGTACATTTTTGTACACCTAAAGTAATTGACTCATTCATTAAATTTTTTGAGCCACCTTTTTAAGCAAATCTAAAAAATATTAATGCAATGATAAATTACAACTTTAGTCTGATCATATTTTGCACATTTTCGATTGGATTTGTTCGGAAAAATTTTGAAATGTCGTTATCAATTTTTTGGAGTTGATAAATAGATATATTTGAAATAAAAGTTACCATGTTTACATAACATTAAAATTTCAAAGTATTCAGTTTTGCAATTCTTGATTTAATCTTTAATCAATAAATTAAATTGACTCAGTTATTTTTTTTTGGGACACCCCCAATAAGCAATTTTAAAAAATATAATATTTTGCACATATAAGAGAGGATTTATTCAGCAAAATTTTGGGGTCACGTCATCAATTTTTAGGGGGGACGAGCAATTAGTAAATACATTTTGATAAAAAATTTACCATGGTTATGATACATTTAAAACATGTCCAAGATTTCAAAACATTCCGTTTTACAGATTCAAAATTAAATTGGGCAATGTGGTTTCTAATTCGATTTTTTTCCCCAAAAATTTGAACGTTTCGGAGAAAAACTCAACACAGCTTCATAAACTACATGTGTACGGCTATGTTATTTTATACAATTTAAAACCCATTTACTATGGACAATTTTGAAGGGACGTCATCACATTATTTGTAAGGATTAGACAAATTTTGGTTAGCGTTTCGGAGATTATCTGTCTAATAAAAATTAGTACAGACGGCAGACAAACAGACTGGCACACAAAATGTAAGAGTTTTATAACAAAAAATCTAACAAAATTAAATGTCGTAGTTATGTTGTTGTAATATTCATGTTACCTAGTAAAATTAACAACAAAATTTGCATGACCTTACAAAACAATATTGTAGTTAAACTTTAATTTTTCAAGTCAGATCGTACAAAAAAATACGACAGCTGCGGAACTCGTTTTTTTTAACACACGGTATATATAGTGTGCATATACATCTATATATTAGAAATGAAACTAATTTTCAATTTTCACCAAAATTTTCTTCTTGGTTAGTGCAGTGTGATAAATCTTTAACGTTCACTTGAATACCGTCATCTACGTTATGTGTCAATTACCTGTTGCAAATCCACCAAGTTTCTATATGAGTCCAAATAATTTAACATATGCCTAGTGAAAATATAAATTTATCAGAAAATTATATCATTATTACTTATTATACTATTAATTTTAAAGCTACATTTAAGTCAAACCAACTGAACAGAGATGGGTTGGGTACGTTATCAGTCGTAACAAACCGTTTTAAATTTTCATTAGAATAATCTTTTTGATGTATTCAAGCTTCCGTGTCATTCTAGCCTCCTCTTTGATCTAAAATTCATATCTAGTAATTACAGAGAAGAAAAGCAGCAACTATGGAATCCTCTCTTATATAAAACGGAGGCACACCTTTCAATGCAAGTGCATTTGTGCATACTACGGTCAAGAGTGAAGTCATGTCGGGCATAATTAACCAAAGTTTTCGATTTAATTTACGCGTTTTAAAAGCATTTTACTTATATCCAGAGCCAGAAGAAACATTTTTACACAAAATACGGACATATGTTTTGTATGTTTTATTCGTGGTCACAGTTCCTGTTATTAGTATCATTCACTTACTAACTTCGGACGATTTAAATGTCGAAAGGGCCAACTACAACGCCGCCTTCTTGGCCCAAACGACAAGCTTCGTCACAAAATTTTTACCATTCGTGGTGAATGGGCAAAATATTCGGAAGTGTATAAACTATTTCGAGAACTTTAAAGTGGAGAGAGAAAATCATCAAATGATTATAAACGAGTGTATCAGGATTTGTCGAAGAAACACGTCTGCGTTTTATATTTGTGCGGTGGGAGCGGTGGGAAGCTGGGCCACTAAACCTCTTTTTTGGAAGGGCCGGAATTTTCCAGTGGATGTGTGGTGGCCCTTTGATGCCACCACCGACTTTTCCACCTACTGTTGTGTGTATTTATTTGTAGCTGCAGGTGAGTGCCTTTTAATTTTCTATACTGTTTATTTCTTAAATTATTTTAGGTCCAGTGTTTGCTTCTCTTGCAACCGGAGTGATTGATCCCTTAATCGCTGGACTGTGCTACCATGCAACCAGTCAAATGAAAATTTTGAAGGACAATTTGCGACATCTGAGTGACTATGCAGATGAAGAAATCTCGAGAGAAAAAGTCGACAGGTCGCTGGTTAAATCGAGCAAACAGAAAATAATTTCTACGATGATAAAAAAATGCGTTGATCACCATGAAACCATTTTGAAGTAAAAAAAAATAATCTGGTAAGTCTAGTCCGTTTTAACTTTTTTTTCGTTGTTTCAGATTTGTTAAAGAATACGAAGTGTGTTTTTCGTGGGTTGTGTTCAGTCAAATTGCTGGGAGCGTCTTCGTAGTCTGTTTTTGCTGTTTACAAATGAGCAAAGTGAGAAACGTTAAGTATAAAAGAAAAATTAATGAATACTTAAGTTAATTTTTAGGTTGATGCTTTCGGTTACTACGTCTTTCAGTTGGCGGTCTACTTTAGTGTCATTTTGGTAGAAATCTATTTTTATTGTTACTATGGATCAACAATTTCTGAAGAGGTGGGTCTAGCTTTATTAAATTTTTTTTTTTCTAAAATATCGAAAAAAATATCATGTCTAATTGCTCAAATTAAAAATAATGTTGTATTATATCTATATAGCATGCTCAAAGTCAATTATCTGATATTAGTTTGGCTTAAGCTTAATTATTATTTTTTCTTTTGCTTTCTCAAATTTTCCATGAAACAAATTGAACTTTCGAAGCAAAATACATTTTTTCTCCTTGTTTCAGTGCGACTCATTAACAGATGCTATATATATGGCTGAATGGTACAATTATGATGTAAAAATTCAAAAGGCTCTGTTAACTTTGATGGAAAGCTCCAAAAAACCGGTTGTCGTAACGGCTGGAAAAACGGTTGATTTGTCTTTATTAACATTTACCACAGTAAGTTGTTTCCTTTTGTTTATCTAACAAGCAAATATTGTTGTTTTTAGATTTTGAGGCGATCTTACTCTTTACTAGCAGTACTAAAAAATTATCAGTAGTGTTATCATTTTCCTGTAACGGTTTCCAATACCGCCACTACCTTCTCTTTTTTTTGTTTTTTTTTTGTTAGTTTAATATTTACGTGAATGTGAATTATCTTCACCTTAGTAGTTTTGTGTGACATACTTCTGAGGCTTTACTTAAAAAAATATTTTTTTTGAAACTTTATAATTGAAATTATTTACACAATTTTTATTATTTACATTATTTTTACATACATATTTTGGGAACTGTTTACTCTGAATACAACTAAACGACGTTTCAAATAAGCAAAACACCTAAAAGCACTAGTGTGCTTATATAAGCAGTGATTGTAACCTCATTCTCTCTCTATGGTTAGCCGGTCCAACTTGCCACATAAACTTAGTTATATATCAAATTTGCAAAATTAAAAAAAATCTTTTATCATTCGATTTGGATTTTTTGCGAAAACCTGGATGCCCTGAATAAAAATCAACGCGAAATCATAAACCGCAAGTACAGTTCGTATTTATTAACGGTCTAAATAAACAGGTTTAAATTTATGTTGTAGCTGATACATATGTATTATATTTTTACATTTGCAGTAAAGTTTACAAAAGTGTTAAATCATTAGCTTAGTATTTTTAATTGTTACTTAAGTAATTGTTAACGATAACAACACAAACATCAAAAAGTGTCACGAATATTTTAAAATTCGATCTCATATTTCTCATTTCTTGGATAATATGTTAGCGACAATTTTGGAGAAAATTTTTTAAACTACCAAACCGACTACTTCGAATATAAGGTGCCACAACTTGACGTTGCTAATAAACTCTAAGTAAAACTGATTTCACTGAAAAATTAGTTGTATCATTTCACATGATCACTTTTGTTTGAGTAAAATATAAACTTTTAAGTGCACAAATTTTGGTAGCGTGGATTTAACAATCCAAAACTTTCTTTCTTTTGAAAAAAACAAAATCGGAAGTATTGTAAAATTTAATTTTATTTTAGGTTTCCTTATTAAGTTTTAATTAAGTTTAAATCAACTTATTAATTTTGTAACTTAAACGTTAAGCCGTTGTCCCGCAGATCTCCTGAAGAAGGGAGCATATTATCTCGAAACGTTGAGAAAACTTTGTACTGGTAACTAATTGAGAAATAAATCCGTCCCCGAAGAAGAAATTTAATTAAAACAGAATCATAATGGATGAAAAGAAACCAGATAACATGTGTTCCAAAGGTTTCATAATTTCTAAAGGATGAAAAAGTAGATCCTCCGTTTCCATTTGTTTGCCGTCTGTCTGTTGTCTGCCTGTCGACTGTTGGCATTTTTGTTCGACTTTGAAGCTACAAGGCGATAAGCGACAATTCAGATGCATATTAAAAATATTGTCTTGAGTTGTCTTGGTCGAAAAAGTAGCTGTCAGAAAATAATGTTTGTTTAAATCTTTTTTCACCATTTTCATATGCCCATTTACCATAGTCCAGAAATAAAATATCAATTTCAAGTGCCCAAAAATGAGGGAATTTGGAAGTATTTTAGTTTATTTTTTGTGATTTTTCAACAATTTTTCATACGTTTAATTTTTTATGGTCCATAAGTTACAAGGTATTTTTTTAGTATTTCAGAAGTGGGAACTATTAGGTGATTTTCCAACTGTTTTGTTATAGTCGTAATTGATCTGATTTAGAGCTGAAAATTCATTGGGATTTCTAAATAAGGGACTTGTTTGTCATTTTGAGCCCCGTATACGATTTGTCAATGATTGTTAGTCTTATCTTAGCAAGTACTAGCCCCACCCACCCACCCTCTTCTCATTCTAACGAATAATTTTATTTCTATTCAATATAAAATCATTAATTTCATTGAGATCGGAAAAAATCAATCACTGAAGAGGAGACAGGGTGGGTGGGCGGGGCTAATTATGTTCTTCAGTCGAGTGGGAGTGGAAGCTAATAGAATCTACGATGTGAAAAAATAAAAAAAGCGACCTGACCTACTAGAAAGTACATTCTTAAAACAATTGAACTTTGTGAAAAAAAATTATAATAATTTTTTTATCTGCAAAATTTTTGCACCTAGCTATTTTGACGAAACTGTAAAAATTGCTGATTTTGACAAAACGGTAGGAATTTCCGAAGAAATGAAGTCGAAAATGACTTCTGGATATCGAAATCTAGAAGAAAGTGTCAACTAATTTTCGAAAATAGTTGAAAAATGGTTAAAAATGACGAAAGGCATCTTTTCTTATCAATTACTAGCACAATTAAGGTCGAAAGGCATAAAATAGTTTAACCTGTTTAATTGTGCTGCGTCTTCTCATCCGAACACTCTTCTTTATTGAAATAGGTAGCTATTTAATAATATATTGTTGCATATGTGAAAACATGTGCACCTATAATCTAAATAGAATCGGTTACTAATGCATAAGGTTTTCTTTAACAGGAAGTGGCATAGCTGTTATTGTAAAACAGAATGTACAACAGAATCTAAGAATTCAGTTCGAATACAAGACGCCAATATTACATATTACAAATGTCAAAAGTGGCAAAATCAGTCTCATCTTATCAAATACTAGCCCCGCCCACCCACCCTCTATTTTGTTAGAGGATATTTCATCTGCCAAATTCAGTCTTCTCTTAGCACGTATTACCCCCACCCACCCGCCCTCTGTTTTCTTGGTAGGTATGTCATTTTCCAAAATTAGCCTTATCTTAGCAAGTACTAGCCCCACCCACCCACCCTCTGGTCATTTTAACGAATAATTTTATTTCTATTCAATATAAGATCATTCATTTCATTCAGATCGGACAAAATCAATCATTGAAAAAGAGACAGGGTGGGTGGGCGGGGCTCATTATGTTCTTCTGTCGAGTGGAAGTGGAAACTAATAGAATTTAGGATGTGAAAAAATAAAAAAGGCGACCTGACCTGACTTGGACTAACGTGACCTGACTTGTCCCAGGCGCGGATACAGGATTTTATTTAGGGGGGGGGGGCAATTTTTGCGCGATTCTACCTATCTACCAGAAATTCGTTCTAAACAAAAAAATTTATAAAAGTTTAGCTAGTATACTCTTTTTCACATAACATGGGTGACACTTGATTCTTTTCATTACACGTATAGTGTACAGTAGAACTTCAATAATCCTAATTAATTGGGAAAAAGGTGTGTTTGGATTAACGATTTGTTCGGATCAGCAATTTTCCCAAAAATCTGAAAGGGAATTGAATAACAACTTCATACACAACTGAAAACAAACTTCAAGAATTAAACCTAAATTTTATTAAACAAAAATTAAAGAATTCTTAAGCAACAATGGATAATAGATACATTCTAAAAAAAATATTACTTCGTGACCATAAACACGCTACCTTTTTGGAATAAACACCCCGGGATATATACCCTGAAATTTTTCAGAATTTTTAGATGAATTTTTCAAAAATGAAATTTTCCATTATGTATTCGTATCACTTCCATTATGCAAATTTGGACCCATTCTCGACGATTTTCGAAATTTAACTAAATATATTTTCTTGTAGATTTTGAACCTCAGAAGTCACTTCTGGCTTCATTTCTTCGATAACTTAAACGATTTTTCCAGAATCGTCCAGTTGAAATATCGCAATTTTTAAAAATTTCGAAAAACTTGAATTTCACAGCGAATTTTCCGAAAATATTGCTCCGTTACTATAAACATGGTATATTTTTGGAATCAGCACGTCGGGATATATATCCCTGAATTTTTTCAGAATTTTTAGGAAATTTTTTCAAAAATGAAATTTTTCAAATGCAAATTTCGACCCATTTTCGACGATTTTCGAAGTTTAACCAAATACTTTCTCTTGTAGCTTTCGGGTCTCTGATAACTTCATCCGTTTTTCCAGAATTAGTTAATTAATTCAGTGCTTTGAAATATCGCAATTTTTAAAAATTTCAAAATATTCCATACAACATATATACAGAAAGATCTTGCGTCATTTTTAGAAGTAGATGCATGTTTTCAAGTTCAGTTCGGATTAAAGAGGCATCGACTTCAAATAGCCTCTGTTCGGATTACTGGATGCTGAGACAATCGTGAGATCGGATTATAGAGGTTGTACTGTATTTACAAAATAAATATGATTTCAAAATTTTGAAATTGGTCAAAATAAAGTACCTCGGTCGTGTGTCAGGGGGGGGCAATTGCACCCATTGCCGCCCCCCTGGATCCGCGCCTGACTTGTCCTGACTTCTCTATTGTCTCAAATAAACAAATTTTATACATATCAAAAGTACAAAGTACATCCTTAAAACAATTGAACTTTGTGAAAAAAAATTATAATAATTTTTTTTATCTGAAAAATTTTTGCATCGAACTATTTTGAAGAAACTATAAATATTGCTGCATTTCAATTAGTGATTTTGGAAAAACGGCAAGAATTTCCGAAGAAACGAACTCGAAAATAACTTCTGGATATCGAAATTTGCAAGAAAATATCTTCAACTAATTTTCGAAAATAGTAATGGTCAAATATGACGAAAGTCATCTTATCTGATCAAATACTAGCACAATTAAGGTCGAAAGTCATAAAATAGTTTAACCTGTTTAATTGTGGTATGTCTTCTCATCCGAACACTCTTCTTTATTGAAATAGGTAGATATTTAATAATATATTGTTGCATATGTAAAAACATATGCATCTATAATCTAGATAGAATCGGTTATTAATGAATAAGATTTTCTTTAACAAGAAGTTACATAGCTGTTATGGTAAAACAGAATGTACAACATAATCTGAGAATTCAGTTCGGATACAAGACGCCAATATTTCATATTACAAATTTCAAAAGTGCCAAAATTAGTCTCATCTTATCAACTACTAGCCCCGCCCACCCGCCCTCTGTTTTCTTGGTAAGTATGTCATTTTCCAAAATTAGCATTATCTTAACAAGTACTAGCCCGCCCACCCACCCTGTTCTCATTCTAACGAATAATTTTATTTATATTCAATATAAGATCATTCATTTCATTCAGATCGGGTCAAATCAATCACTGAAGAGGAGACAGGGTGGGTGGGCGGGGCTAATTATGTTCTTCTGTCGAGTGAGAGTGAAAACTAATATAATCTAGGATATGAAAAAAGTAAAAAAAAAGTAACCTGAGTTGACTTCGCCTAACGAGACCTGACTTGTCCTGACTTCTCTATTGTCCCAAATAAACAAATTTTAAGCATATAAAAACTACAAAGTACAATCTTAAAACAATTGAACTTTGTGACACAAAAATTATAATATTTTTTTTTATCTGCAAAATTTTTGTACCGAGCTATTTTGACGAAACTGTAAAAATTGCTCCATTTCAATTAGCGATTTTAGAAAAACGGTGAGAATTTCCGAAGAAACAAAATCGAAAATGATTTCTGGATATCGAAAACTACAAGAATATGTCAACTAATTTTCCAAGATAGTTGAAAAATGGCCAAAAATGACGAAATGCATCTTATCTTATCAACTACTAGCACAATTAAAGTCGAAAGTCATAAAATAGTTTAACCTGTTTAATTGTGCTACGTCTCATCCGAACACTCTTCTCTGAAATAGGTAGATTAAAAAAAAATTGTTGCATAAGTGCAAACATCTATAATCTAGATAGAATCGGTTACTAATGCATAAGGTTTTCTTTAACAAGAACTTGCATACACTAAAGTTTTTTCTAAAATCTGTGTTACAACATTTGGTGGGGAAATAAAGTAAGGTGCATGCGTCCAGAGAAAAGTTTTGAGGGTTTTCTTAAAATGAAGAAATTTTTTAGGTTTTTGCCTCTTTTTTCTGGAATTTTAACGACTTTTTTGTCCTGATCTAAAATAAATTATCATTTTGAGTTGTCGGAAAATTTGAATCTTTTACCACCATTTCCATTTACCATAGTTCAGATATAACGTGACACTTTAGAGTGTCTAAAAAAAGAAGGCATTATTAAAGGTCTTTTGCTTTTCCTTCGGTTGTTTTTGAATAGTTTTTCATATTCGTAATTTTTCTATGATTCATAGGACTTGCAAGGTATTTTTTGGAGTATTTCAGGGACTAAAAAATAATTTTGTATTTTTTTTAACTCTTTTTCATATTCCCAATTAGATTTCTGTATGTTTTTTACCTCATTTGTAATTTGTTTTTATTACTGTTTCATCACCCAAAACCTTGCTGATCTAGAAATGGAAAATTATCTGGGAACGTCGTTAAAATAAGGAAATGAGAAAGGTTTTTAAGACTTTTTGGCGACATTTTAACTATTTTTCATGCTCTCAATTGTCTTGGTTCCAAAATATCTTTCCGAAATTATTAACAAACTTGCACAGATGTCAAAACTAAAATAACTAAAATGTATCTGATTGTTCCCACCAATAATTTGATGACGTAATCTCAAAATTTTACCAACTAGATCCTATTTAAATTAAAAAAATATTTCTCTATAATTAAAATTTGTTCGTGCGTCATTATTTTAACGTTAAACATTCAAATGTCTATAAAAGGATAAAAATTTCCCTAAAACGTTGTACAATTTTCTTAAAATCTACAAATCGACCGTTTATTAAAGACATGTTAAATCGTTACTCAAAATTTATTTGTGTATCTCCTATACAAACTTCATGACGTCATCTCAAAATTTTGCTGCATAAATAACATGTACAAAATTATTGTGAGTTATCAATTTATCAACACGCCGACTTTGTTTTATAAACTCCTTGTACAAAGTTAACAAAAAATTAACGAAGAAAATCAAGAAAAACCCGTGTAACTTGTTTCTTTACTGTAATTTAGTAATCCACACTTTATTTTATTTAATTTTACAGAAGTTAAAAAATAAAACCTCTAATTTGTTTGGTAGAGCTTTTCCACTTACTAAATATAATAATAGCTGAAATAGCTGAGTGTAAAATGTGATATTTTCGCAATATTATTCCGTTGTGATCGTATTTAAGCTTTGTCGCTTTTATTTTTTTATTTTGCTAATTTGATTATTGTAATTTTATTAACATTAATATACTTGAGCCAACATTTATAGATCTGCGGAAAATTTTCAAACCTCTTTTTTAAAACGTCAGCTGTTACTGTTCAAAGAAAGTTGATTACATATTTACATTAGAACTAAAGCTAAGCGTTAGTCAGTCGAGTAGCTTCATAAAATTATTATAAGAAATAATCATTTTGAAGTGAATACTGAACTGAAGCTTTCGTGTTATTCCACTCTTTGATCTAAAATTCATACAATTCCTATTAATTATAAGCGAAACAAAGAAAAATTTTATACTTTTCTCTCATATAAATCGAAGATGAGCCTTGCATTTGCATTCAGTGCATTGAACCGTTAAAAGTAACGCGATGGCAAACATAATTCAAGCAAGTTTCCGTTTAAATTTATTCATTTTGGAGACATTTTACATGTGTCCACCCAAAAAACAAACCCTTTCATACAAACTCCAAAGTTACATCGCCTACGTGTTAATTGTAGTGATAGTGCCTGTTATCAGTATTCTCCACCTTCTTCTGGCCGAAAACCTGGATATGGACCGAGTAAATTATAACAGTGCTTTTGTGGCTCAAGCCACGTGTTCCATTACGAAATTTTTACCCTTTATTCTGGACGGTCAGCGTATGAAAAATTGCATTTATTATATGGAAAATGTCGCGTTTGAGACATCCAGAAATTATCACACAACTATCGTAAACGAATGCGTCAAAGTCTGTAAAAGAATTAGTTCTGTGGTGTTTGTCGTCTCTGTTGGGGCTGCTGCCAGCTGGAGCACGAAACCATTTCTCTGGAAAAAGCGAGACTTTCCAGTTGATGTCTGGCTTCCCTTCGATGCGAAAGAAAACATCTTCATCTTCTCTTTCGTCTATTTAATTGTCGCTATAGGTATGAATTTTGATAATTATGTTGTATTTTGTCTATAAACATTATTTTACTTGCATCTTTTCGTTTTAGGTCCAGCTATTGCTGGTTTCCTAACTGTGGCCGTTGACCCTCTGATAGCAGGTCTCATCTATCATGCAGCGAGTCAAATGAAAATTTTAAAGGATAATTTACAAAACGTTTGCGATTATGCCGACGAACCAATTTTGGAAAAGCACGAAGGTTCGATGAAAAATCTTACGAAACAAGAAATTATTATCGAATTGGTGAAGAAGTGTATCTCTCATCATGACGAAATTCTAAAGTAGCGTAATTTTGTATCCAGGTAAAATTGTTTTATTTTTTGATGTTTTAAACTTTTAGGTTTGTTACGGAATTTGAAGACTGTTTTTCGGTGGTGCTCTTCAGTCAAATGGCAGGCACAATGTTCGTTATTTGTTTTTCTTGTCTGCAGCTAAGCAAAGTATACTGGTGCTAAAATTATGCCTATGTGTATTTTTTCTGATATTTATTATTTTAGCTTAATTCGGTAGATTCCAACTTTGGACAATTTGCAATGATCCTAATAGTAATACTGGCTCAAATATATTTCTACTGCTACTATGGTGCTACGCTTTCGGAACAAGTTGAGTACAGTGTAATTTTGTAACAAAGATTAAGTATTTGGCTTTTGATACAGATTTACCGTAAATGTTATTGATTTGTCAGCTCGCATCTGTAATTTTATTAGACATTTAATATCTTGAATAGAGAAAATCATTTTAAAAATTTTAACTCACTATATTCATATTTCACATTTTCAGAGCGGGTCACTAATAGACGCTATTTACATGGGTCCATGGTACACTTACGACGTGAGAACCCAAAGAACCCTTTTAACAATAATGGAACGTTCAAAAATACCTGTGACAATTACTGCTGGAAAACTAGTCGATTTATCTCTGCCTACTTTCACTACAGTAAGTACAGGGTGACTGCGAAATAAGTGCAAATATTTTAACCACGGCATCCCCCACCCTAGTAGAGCCGAAATATAGAAAAAAGAAATTAAAAATCGAATGGGGCAAAACCCCCATGAACCACCCTCGATACGAAGGCACTGAGCCACCTTGTAAACAGAGTTGGAAAAACGTTCGAATAAAAACGACCTAAACACTTTCAGTTTCAATTAAAAGTAAAACCGACTTTTTGCTGCTTATCATTCGTTCATTCATTTACTCATTCATCGTTAAAGGTCAGTGTGAAAGTTTTTTGGTAATTTTGATTCTGACGGATGTTTGGTCCTTGTCACAACGATTTTACGTTGTTTATTGGAACAGAAATAAGAGCAACTTAGAATGCTACTACCTTTTTACAAGAAATGTTGAAAATGTTGTCCTTGACTAGCAATACAGGCGTCAGAGCGTCGCAAGAGGTTTGTTGATAGGTAAAAAAACACCGGAGTAGCGGGTGTCACTTTCACTTGTTGAAGCTCTTCGATAATTTCTGGACACTGTTGATTTCCACAAACGAACTGTTTCATCCAACTGATACACATTTATCGAAAACCGTCTCTTGAAATCGTACTTGTTGACGACTACGTGGAGTTCCATCGGACAAAAAGTGAGTTACACAACGTGAACAATCAGTGGACTCCAAACCGTGCACTTTGTCAACATGGTATGGATGTGGCCGTATTCTTTTAATGTAGGATGCACTACAAGCTGTGAAAATCCAACTTCTTCTTTCTGTCCTATCACGGCCACGATCGTGAGTTTGAGGTTGAAGGTACCATGATCTCGGAGATGCTGTACCACTGATGCACCCATTACCATATCGACACAATCTGCATGGGAAAACTGCACCATAAACCGATTTCACCGACCGCTCGATGCTAACTGGCCCTTTTCGTGTTTTTCACGTTGCGATTAAAAAAGTGCCTGATAAAGTAACTTTTTTGGTTCTTTAACCGACTCGCTCTGTTCCATTCATTGTAGTAATTATGTAGGTCACAAAACAGTCCAGCGGCGCGTACAACAATTTACATTGAATTTCAAATAATTTTTTCTAGACACTGCTACTACTTAGGACCGTGAATTTTACCCAGTGACATAATCATATTGTGAGCTATTCCCCATTTTTTTTTTTGCATGTATTTCGCAGTCACCTTGTATATGCAATGTTAGATAATCCAATTTAAATTTTGTTTTTATTGCAGATTCTAAGGAGGTCGTATTCATTAATCGCTATCATGAAAAATTACCAATAGTCCCGGCTTACATTATTATAATATTTATATGCAAATTGTAATATCTTACATCAAAATAAATAAACCCATAATTTTCAATTTGTAGTTAGAACGTGAAAACGTGAGTGAATCGCCTTAATGAATACAATAATAAAAAAAAAATACTAACATGACAGAAGTTCATTTTACCCTAAGAAGATTTAGTGCGATTTTAGGTGATTGAATCCTTAGAGGTAGAGCAAAAATTCTACCATTTTACCACAGCTTTATTGTTTAAAGGATTTAATAATAAAATGAAGGTGTATTCAGAAACCATAGTTCTGAATTTTGTTATTGTGTCAAATTTACATAGCATTTACGGTGAAAATTTTGAGGTCACGTCATCAACTGGTTATATACCGTGTTGTGTTTTCTTATGTACCAAAGTGATGTAAGAAAATTATAACAATAACTGTTACTATAACATGAGTGTCAAAATTATAAGCTTGATTTCTTGGAGATTTTTTGGCAACTTTTCCAAAAACTCAGTTTCTCGTTACTCCCTGTTACGAAAATTTCGACATTTTTTTGTAAAGTTCAACACATTTTCTTGGAAAATTCTTACCACATTATGTGAATCGCTACATGAAAAACTAGCGTACAAAATTGGTCCAAAGTTATTTCGACAGAACTTCCCCCGCTTCTGAAGTACAGTCCAACAAATACTGCTTCTCTAAAAAATTATAAAATTTGATTTTGCGAAATTTTACTTTTTCGTGATAAACTCTATAAAGTAAAACCAATGTAGAAGGTAGTAGTCACAGTGTACTATATAAAGAAAAGAAGGTTTAACCTTCTAAAAAAATGACAGTTGGGAAGCCCGGGAAGATTTAATATTCTTAAAAAAAGACACTTGGAACACCCGAGAAGGTTCCGCTTTCTTTAAAAAAGGACATTTGGGACTCCCGAGAAGGTTTCAGATTCTTAAAAAAAATACGTTTGGGCCCCTTGAGAAGGTTCCACATATTTAAAAAAAGACATTTGGGACCCCCGAGAAGGTTTCACATTAGAAAAAAAAATTGACGCCCCCGAGAAGGTTTTACATTTTTAAGAAAGACAATTGGGTACCCGAGAAGGTTTTATATTTTTAAAAAAGGCAGTTGGGTCCCCCAATAAGATTTCACATTCTGAAAAAATACACTTGGGACCTCCCGGGAGGTTTAATATGTTTAAAAAGACATTTTAGCACCTAAGAAGATTTCACATTATAAAAAAAACATTTACCGCCCCCGACAAGGTTTAACATTTTTAAAACAGATAATTGAGAGCCCCGAAAAGGTTTCACATTGGTACAAGTACACGTTTGGCGCCTCCGAGAAGGTTTCACATTTTTAAAAAAGACAGTTGGGAACCCCGAGAAGGTTTCACATTTAAAAAAAAAAAACACTTAGGGCCTACCAGAAGAATTTACATTTTTTAAAAAGGCAGTTGGGACCTCGAAAAAATTCTACAATCTAAAAAAAAAACGTTTGGGGCTCCTGTTAAAGTTTTACAATTTAAAAAAAGACAATTGGGACCCCCGAGAAGGTTTCACATTTTTAAAAATAGACATTTGGATCCCCAGAGAAGATTTTATATTTTTAAAAAAGACAATTAGGACCACCGAGAAGGTTTCACATTAAAAAAAAGACATTTGGCAACCCCGAGAAGGTTTTACATTTTAGGAAAGACAGTTGAGACCCCGAGAAAATATCACATTCTAAAAAAAATATTTGGCGACTCCTAGAAAGTTTTACATTTTTAAAAAAGTCAGTTAGGAGCCCCGAGAAGGTTCCACAGTAAAAACAAACACATTTGGCGCCCCCGAGAGTTTCACATTTTTAAAAAGAAAGTTGGGAACCCCGGAAAAGCTTCACAATCTTAAAAAATACATTTTAGGCTCCCCAGAAGGTTTTACATTTTTAAAAAAGACAGTTGGACCCCGAGAAGACTTCACAATCTAAAAAAAAAAAAAACATTTGGGGCCTCTGTGAAAGTTGGGACCCCCGAGAAGGTTACACATTCTTAAAATTAGACATTTGCATCCCCAGAACAGATTTTATATTTTTAAAAACGACAATTTAAGACCCCCGAGAAGGTTTCACATTAAAAAAAAGACATTTGGCACCCCGAGAAGGTTTTACAGTTTAGAAAAAGACAGTTGGGACCCCCGAGAAGGTTTTACATTCTAAAAAAAATATTTCGCGCCTTCTAGAAAGTTTTACATTTTAAAAAAACAGGCTTCCCAGCGAAAATTTTACATTTTTTAAAAAAGACAGTTAGGAGCCCCGAGAATATTTCACATTAAGAAAAGGACATTTGGCGCCCCCGAGAAACCTTCACATTTTTAAAAAAGACAGTTGGGAATCTCAAGAAAGCTTCACATTCTTAAAAAATACATTTAGGGTCCTCCAGAAGGTTTTACATTTTTAAAAAAGACAGTTGAATCCCCGAGAAGATTTCATAATCTAAAACAAAAACATTTGGCGCGCCGACAAGGTTTTACATTTTTAAGAATTGGGGCCCCTGTGAAGGTTTTACATTTAAAAGACATTTGGTCCCCCCGTGGAGACTTTACATTTTTAAAAAAGACAGTTGGGAACCTCGAGAAGGTTTCACATTCTTAAAAAAAATACACTTAGGACCCCTATATATTGGGCCTTCTAGAAGCTTCTACATTTTATAAAAAAGACAATTGGCACCCTCGAGAATGTTTTACCTTCTTAAAAAATACATTTGGGTCCCTCGAGAAAGTTGTACATCTAAAAAAAAACAGTTGTAAACTCCGGGAAAGGTTTCTCATTAAAAAAAAAAGATATTTGGCGCCCTTGAAAAGGTTTCACATTCTTGATAAAGACATTTGATGCCCCCAAGAAGCTTTTACATTGTTAAATAAAGAGGGGCCTATTTATTATCACCTTTTCGAGAAAGGGGGACAATTTCATCAATAAAAAGTTTGTTATGACGTCATATAGATAATACACAATTTTACTTATTTATATTTTAAAAAAACAGGCTTTCCCGCGAAGCTTTTACATTTTTTAAAAGTGACAGTTAGGAGACCCGAGAAGATTTCACATTAAAAAAAGGACATTTGGCGGCCCCGAGAGACCTCCACATTTTTAAAAAAAGTCAGTTGGGAACCTCAAGAAAGTTTCACATTCTTAAAAAATACATTTAGGGTCCTCCAGAAGATTTTGCATTTTTAAAAAAGACAGTTCAACCCCCGAGAAGATTTCACAATCTAAAAACAAAACATTTGGCGCCCCCGACAAGGTTTTACATTTTTAAAAATGACAATTGGGACTCCAGAGAAGGTTTCACCTTTTTAGAATTGAGGCCCCTGTGAAGGTTTTACATTTAAAAGCCATTTGGACCCCCCGTGAAGACTTTATATTTTTAAAAAAGACTGTTGGGAACCCCGAGAATGTTTCACATTCTTAAAAAAAATACACTTAGGACTCCTATATTTTGTGCCTTCTAGAAGCTAGAAAACAGTTGTAAACTCCGGGAAAGGTTTCACATAAAAAAAAAGATATTTGGCGCCTTTGAGAAGGTTTCACATTCTTGATAAAGACATTTAATGCCCCCAAGAAGCTTCTACATTGTTAAATAAAGAGGGGCCTATTTATGACGTCATATAGATAATACACAGTGCGACAAAAAAAGAGAAAAAAAATGGAAAGCCCAAATTTAGAAACAAACTCCCGGTCCGTATTCCTGACTCATAACAACTACAGTTCGACCGGGATGACTTATGCTAATGGTAAAATCTTATTGTACCGTGCATTGTTTTTCCAAAAATTTGGATTTAGGGAAAAACTCAGAGCGGATTCCCACACCATACTTATAGGACTATATTGTTGTATAACAGTTGAATCAAGTAAACACAGAATTCTTTAAAATGACGTCATCAAATTGTTCGTGGAGATGATGAGCAAAATTTTGGTTAGCATTTAACCCTATTCATGATATTTCTAATGCACATACAAAATTTGACAACAATCAGTCCAGGGGTTTCGGAGTTTACCTGTCTAATAAAAATGGCTACAAACATCAGACAAACAGACAGACAGACGGAAAAGTCTGTCTGTCTGTTTGTCTAGTTTGGTAGTCTAGTTTATTTTTGTCAGAATGTCAATGTTTAGTATTAAAAAAAATAACTTTCCAATCGAGTATGTCAGAACTTTTTGTAGTTTTAGGCAACTTTTAAAAAAGTTAAAGTTTTCAATATTCCGTCCCCAGTTATGAGAATTTCGGCCTTTTTTCGACCACTTTCGAAATTTACCCAAGTTGATTTTTGGTAGATTTTCACCTCCAGGAAATATTACAATCTTTTGATAGGACCATTTGTTAATGAAGTAATTATTAAAACTGCTAAGTGTGTCAGTAAAGTAGAGCCTGTCAAATAGCGAACAAAGGTGCTTATTGGAAGCCCCCTAAAAAACTACTCACGACTATATTGGTGATGAAGCCTACCTGAATTTGGTCTACTTGTCCAAATCGATCGTCATAATATCAAGCAGGTTATTGCTAGCTTCCAGTAAATAGAAACCCAGTGTTCACTATTAGCCGGACTCTATTTTACTCTTCAAGCTTCTTCACCGATTTTATTCATAAAATTTTGTTTATTTTATGACGTCAGTCTTCATTATAAGGATTCCAACTAAATGCAGATGTGGAAAAGTGCACAACCCTCATAAAACTTTTATTAGAAATAATCATTTTGAAGCGAATATTGAACCGAAGCTTTCGTATTATTCTAGCCTTTGATCAAAAATGCATGCAACTCCTATTAATTATACGGAACACAATAAAAAACCAATAATGCTCCTCTTATATATAAATCCACTATGCGCCTTGCATTTTCATTCAGTGCAGTTAACAGTTAAGTGAACCGCGATGGAGAACATAATTAGAAAAAGTTTCGGTCTAAACTTATTCACACTGGAGACTTTTTGCTTGTGTCCGTCCAAAAAGCAAACTATCTTATATAAACTTGGAAGCTACACCACCTACGTATTAATTATAGTGCTAGTGCCTGTTATCAGTATTCTCCACCTTCTTCTTGCAGAAGATCTGGACTTGGATCGAGTAAATTACAACGCTGCGTTTCTAGCACAAACTACTTGTTTTATTACAAAAATGTTACCCTTTATTCTTGATGGTGAACGTATTAAAAAATGCATCTTTTACTTGGAAAATATTGTGCTCGAGACATCTAGAAACCACCATTCGAGAATCCTAAACGAATGCGTAAGAATTTGTCGAAGAAACAGCCTGGTGTTTTTTGTGAGTGCTGCTGGGACTGCAGCTATTTGGACCACGAAACCACTTTTCTGGAAAAGACGAGAATTTCCAGTCGATGTCTGGTTGCCTTTTGACGTGAAAGAAAACATCTTCGTATTTTCCTTTGCCTACTTAATTATCGGTATAGGTGGGTGCTTCAATAATTATTTATTTGTGTTAATATTTGTTTTAGGGCCATTTCTTGCTGGTCTGATAAATGCCAGCGTGGATCCTTTGATTGCAGGTCTCATCTATCATGCAACAAGTCAAATGAAAATTTTGAAAGATAATTTACAAAACGTTTCCGATTATGCCGAGGAAGAAATTTTAGAAATGGGCAAACTAAATCGGACAAAAAATGTAACAAAACAAGGACTTGTTACTGAGACCCTGAAAAAGTGCATCGTTCATCACGATGAAATTCTAAAGTAGCCACATTCTGTACGCAAGTAAAACAATTGATTTGACTTTGTGGTTAAAATTTTCAGGTTTGTTAAGGAATTCGAAGATTGCTTTTCATTGGTGGTGTTCAGTGAATTGGCGGCCGCAATTTTCGTAATTTGTTTTTCTTGTCTGCAGCTGAGCAAAGTATTATTATGTAACAATTATATTTTTAAATGCATAATCTTTTAGCTTGACTCCATAGATTCGTACTTTGGGCAATTTGTGATGTATCTAAATGTTGTTCTAGTTGAAGTATATTTCTACTGCTACTACGGTTCTCGTCTTTCGGTAGAAGTGAGTACATGGATTTTCATAACACACAAAATTAGCCCTTTCCTTAAACAATTTAAAATTAATTATTTTGAGACTACGTATTGTTTTACAAACATGTGATGCTTTGGACGAGTTAAGCTACTACCGTGTTTATTTTACCATTTTCAGAGCGATTCGTTAAGAGATGCTATTTATATGGGTCCATGGTACACCTGCGATATTAGAACTCAGAGAACCTTGTTAATAATAATGGAACGTGCAAAAATTCCTGTCATAGTTACCGCTGGAAAACTTGTGGATTTGTCTCTGGTTACTTTTACCACGGTAAGTAAATTCGATGTTAGATGGTTTAGATTTTGAAACTAAACTCTTCAATTACAGATTTTACAACGCTCTTATTCGCTGATAGCCGTTATGAAAAACTACCAGTAGTGGAAGACTGTGCAATATATTTATTTGTGAATCACTTATGCTAAAATAAATGCACTAATTTTAAAATTCTTTATTTAGAGGGCAAGTTTAAAAACTGTTTCTGAATTTAACAGAAGGGATGAGTCCAAAGCGTAGCGTTTGCTCTTGAGAGTAAGATTCTGATTTATTTCACTTATACACCATTTGTTTTAATTAATATATATATATTACTACTTTTGTTTAAGATCTTAACAAGCTGTTCAATGTAATTTAAATAAAATTACAAACATTTTTTATAAATAAAGTTTTTCACTGTTTGCTGTTTTTTTGGCAAAAATATTTTAATTGTGGATTTTAAAAATCTACAGCAAAATTGGTTATCCCTACTATGGGTACTGAGGTACTATTTTCCACTTGCAACAACCCTCTCCAGCTTCTAAAAATACAATCAAATAATAAAACAAATATTTGAATACAAGAGACAACTTTAGTTGAAATTCCCTCTGCTATTGTTGAAATTAACCGATGAACTTCAGTTTCAAGGATTTACATGATGTTAAATTATGGATTAATTCAAATTAATCATGAAATCGAAAATGTGTTGGAGCGATGCTATTACCAGTGCTAAAGGACATTTTATCCCGTTTGTTATCTGCTTTAAAAAAATTTTTTGTATAATTTTTCAAAAAAACGGGTTTTGTTGGACTATACTTCAAGAGTGAGGGAAGTTCTGTCGAAGTAACCTTTGACCAATTTTTATAAATGGTTTACAGTGATGATGACAAATTATAAGCCGAAACATGTGCCTGATTATAATGAACCCGTTCAAATGACATCATAGCATTCTTGTACTTAATAAAAAAGTTAACATGAACTGCGAATTTACAAAAAATGGATCCAAAATTACACGTATTGATGAATTAAGCAAAGGTTCACACCATTTTAGATTAGAAGATCACCTATAAACTGATGTTGCCCAAATTTTGTTCGCTGAGGACTGTGGCATCGAAAGCGACTCATTGTTTCAAACAATTGCTCTTTTGGTTTAAACAACTGACCTTTTTGGAATCACAATTACAATTTTTGGAAAGTTGAATAAGAACCATACGCGCTGCAACAAAAATGATCTTAATATGCTTCAAACATTAAGTAAAATTAATAAAAAAAATATACGTTAAATGAAACAAAGAGCAAAACATTGGTATGATTTTAAAAACGAAACATTACAAATTACGAGAAAAAAATTTTCGATTTTATGTATTTCACAAGATACACTGCCAAGTTTAAAGTTAATATCAAAGGTGACATTCTGCTTCTCATTTTGTTGTTATATTTTTAGCGCGAAATTTGAATTTCAAATTCCGGACTCTACAATAAAATTATTATTTCTGTCTACAAATGCTTTATAAAGGCCTTATTACACGACTCATTCGGCATTGTTTGAGTTGAGTAATAAACCCTATTATTCCACTAGTGGCGTAATAGAAATATTACACCACTAGTGGTGTAATGAAGGTGAACAGTTTATATAATTATTACTTCCCAAGCGTAAGCTAAGAAAGTATAGTAATCGAGTCCATCCTGACGAATGGCCACATTTGGAGTTTTAACTCCTTTCTTTTCGTATTGTAAAACACTTATACGACGCGCACCGGAACAGGATGTCGAGTTCGAGTTCGACTTCGACACCGACACCGACACCGACACCGGTCTGAACTGAGTCTGAACATAGGCATGTAACGCCGCGCTGATCTACAGACCAGAACGCACTCAGGCCAATGTCGACTCTAAGCGTTCGGAAACGATTTGATTTATAAGCCATGATCCGTGATCTGATACACATCCTAACCGGTTTCGACCATAATTTATTGCTATTTCAACTTTCGGTTTTTCGAAATTTTTGTTTGGGGAGTCTTCAGTTTACTCCTATTTATTATTCAATTTTTGAATTTTACAATTTCTCAATTTTTTAAATTCTTGGTTTTCAGTTTGTCTCTTCAATTTTACGATTTTTATATATTTCAATTTTTCAATTTTTGACTTTTATAAACTCTTTATTTGTCGATTTTTCAATTAATCGATTTTTCGGGTTTTTGGTTTTTCAATTTTTCAATTTTTTCAAGTTTCGATTTTTCAACTTCATTTTTTTGATTTTTCGATTTTTCAATTTTTCAGTTTTTGGACATTTCAGTTTTTGGATTTTTCAGTTTACTTGTTATTCAATTTTTCGATCTTACGATTTTGCAGGTTTTTGTTTTTTCAATTTTTCAATTTTTTTAAGGTTTCGATATTTCGACTTCACTTTTTTGGTTCTCAATTTTTCGATTCTTTAGATTCTCACTTTTGGGATTTTTCAGTTTTTCGATTCGTCAGGTTTTCTTTCATTTTTCAGTTTTTCGATATTTCAGTTTTGGGATTTTTCAATATTTCTGTTCTTCGACTTTTCCAATTTTGACTTCTGGATTTTTCGATGTGTCGACTTTTTACTTTTTCGATTTTTAAATTTTAGATTTCTCAATTTTTTAGTATTTTAATTTTTCAATATTTAAAATATTAGATTTTTCGATTTCTCGATTTTTCATTTCATCTCTTCCATATTTCAATTTTTCAAATGTTTCGATTTTTTAATTTTTTGATTTTTCGACTTCCCGGTTTTAGATTTTCTGTTTTTCAATTGTCATTTTGTCAAATTTTCGATTTTTTAATTTTTCAAATTTGACTTTTATAAACTCTCAATTTTTCGATTTTTCAATTAATCGATTTTTTAAGGTTTCTATTTTTCGACTTAGTTTTTTGATTTTTCGATTTCTCAGTTTTTAGATACATATTTCAGTTTTAGGATTTTTCAATATTTCAATTCTTCGGCTTTTCTATGTTTGACTTCTGGATTTTTCGATGTGTCTACCATTTTACTTTTTTGATTTTTCAATTTTTGGATTTTTAATATTTTAATTTTATTTTTTTGATATTTTAATTTTTCAATATTTCTTAATCTTTCGATTTTTCGACTTCCTGGTTTTAGATGTTCTGTTTTTCACTTTTTCGATTTGTTAATTTTTCATTCCCCATTTATCGAGATTTGATTGTGCAGGTTTTCGATTTATAAGTTTTTCAATTTTTTATTTTGGCTATTTCGGTTTCGCAGTTTTTCCAGTTTAACAATTTTTCGTATTTTGATTTTTCTGCTTTTCCATTTTTTCAACATTCAACTTTTTGTCGATTTCTCTAATTTTCGGTTTTTCGACTTCATCACTTTTCAATTTATCGTTCTTTTGATCTTTCAATCTCTTAATTTTTCAATTTTTCGAATTTTTAAGTTTTTTGATTTCTCAATTTATAAATTGTTCAATTTTTAACTTTTCGACTCCACGATTTCTTCATTTTTTGATTTTTCGATTTCTCGGTTTTTCGATGTTTCGCTTTTTCAGTTATCCGATTTTTTAAATTTGGGAGTTTCGATTTCTCGATTTTTCGTTATTCGGTTTTTAAATTTTAGATATTAGAATTTTACATTTTTTCGATTTTCTGATGTTTCATTTTCGATTTTCATTTCTTCGATCTTTCGAGTTTTCAATGTTTCGATTTTACGATTTTTAAGGTTTCAATTTTTCGATTATTATATTTCTCAATTTTTCGAATTTTCGATTATTTTAATTTTTCTTTTTTTTTCTCACTGTTAATATCATACAATGTATCGAGAACAACCACAAAAATTGTCACAAAACACCTTTAAAAATTCATACAAAATAGAACACAGTGTTTCCAAAACATTTTTCCGAAAAAAAATTCATTGGGTTATTACGATTACAACAATATTCTTAATTTAAGACGTTTTGCTAGTATAAAACACAAATAAAGAATTAATTCTTAGTTAACCAAAATATGTAAAATCATCTAAATATGTACCAAAAATGTTCACTTAGTCGTTATACAAACAACTATTTCCCTCAGAAATTATAGTCCAAACCAACCAAATCGCTTCTGAACGCTTAGAGTCGACATTGGCCTGAACGCGCTCTGGTCTGTAGATCAAACAAGTTCTCGGGCGACGAGTTGTAGTGAAACATGTTTTAGACTATTTAAATTTCGCGCTTGCCTTTGGCGGTTGAGGACTCCAATGTCAATAAGGGTGGTTTTGCAAAATCAGCCTGTATGTCGCTTCCATATTATCTATGTTTATGACGTCATAACAAATTTTTTATTAATGAAATTACTCCACTTTCTTGAAAAGGTGAGAATATGCGCACTGTCATTTTTAAAAATGTAAAACTTTGTCGGGGGCGCCAAATGTTTTTTTTTAGATTGTAAAATGTGTATTTTTTAAGAATGTGAACCCTTCTCGGGGTTCCCAATTGTGTTTTTTAAAAATGTAAAATCTTCACGGGGGGACCAAATGTCTTTTACATGCAAAAACTTCACAGGGGTCCCAGATGTATTTTTCAAGAATGTACAGTCGCACGCAAATGTTTTGAGCCTATGGGCGGATCGTTTTTGCCTGCCCTCACCGAAGAAGGCGGTCCAAATCCTTCAAGGGCAGAATTTGTAGGTAGGCTCAAACTACAACGAAATTCACATTTTACCCTATAAAATTTTATTGACAATAACGGGACGGACAGTAGTTATATATACATTTGGTAAGAAATATTTATGGCTCACACCAGTTCTCTCGAATTTGTCGGAGAAGATTTAGCAGGTAGTTGTTCCCATAAAATAATGGTCACTTTCGTTCGTGAGTAATGATGGTCCGGACATGAATTATTTTGCTTTTGTAACATCTTTCGACCAATTGTTCCGTATAAAAAATTTCATCACTTTTTCAAATAAAATACTCTTAAAAAAAACGATATTGTCGTTGAGTGACATGTAACCGGCATAATAATAAAAACGTGCCATTTTTGTTAACTGATATTTTTTTCATAAATGTAGCAAAATTATTAAATTTGTCTAATCATCCCCACCAATAATGTGATGACGTCACTTCATTTTCAAATTTATGCATAGTAAATGGGTTTTAAATTGTATACAGTAACATAGTCCTACACATGTAGTTTATCACTCCGTGTTGAAAAAAAAAATCAAAATTATAAAACAATATTTTGCAATTTAATTTTGAATTTGCAAAATCCAATACTTTGAAATCTTGCAGATGTTTTAAAATCATGATAAACATGATACATTTTTAATTAAAATATATTTGCTTATCCCCTCTAAAAAATTTATGACGTCACCTCAAAATTTTGCAGAATAAATCCTATCTTAAATGTATAAAATATGATGAGTTTTATACTTGTGATTTATCACTGCATTAATATTTTTTAGATTTGGTTATACAGGGTGTCTCAAAAAAGTTAATGACTGATTCAATTTATTTTATTGAAGAAATCAAGAATAGCAAAACTGAATACTTTGAAATATTGTAGATCTTTTGAAGTTTTTGTAAGCAACAATATTTGATTCATCAAATATGCGCAAAATCAAAAATCGGAAAAACTGAAATTCACTAATGCAAAAAACAGAAAATCGAAAAATACAAATCGTAAAAATCTAAAAATGGCTAATCAAAAAATCGAAAATTCAATGAATCAAATACCCACGTCGATCGAAAAGTGGAAATTCACAAACCTCAAAAATCGAAAAATCGAAAATTGAAAAACGGAAAAACCAAAAAATCGAAAAGTCAAAAATCTGTAATATTGAAAATTAAAAAAATCAAAAACAAAAATTAAAAAAATCGGAAATTAAAATAATCAAAATATATAAAGTAAAAAAAATTGCAAAGCCTAAAAACTGAAACGAACAGAAAAATCGAAAAAGCAAAAAATTGGAAAAACAAAAATTCGAAAAATCTAAAATCGAAAAAGTGGAAAATCGAAAATCTGAATAAAGAAACTTGAAAATTCTGAAAATTGGAAAATCGAAAACCAAAAAATCGGAAAGTAACAAAATTGAAGTCTAACAGTTCAGAATGGAAAAATTGAAAAACCGAAAATTCTAAAAATCGACAATGGACAAATTGAAAATCGCAAAATTTAAATTGAAAAATTGAACATGGAAAAATCGATGAATTGAAAAATCGAAAATTCGGCTACTCAAATTTTCTAAAAATCGAAAAATCATAAAACTGAAAAATCCAAAATTCTAATCATCGAAAGTCTGAAAACTGAAAATCGAAAATTCTGAAAAGCGGAAAATAGAATATCGAAAAATTTAAAAGAAAGAAAATTGAAGTCTAAAAACCGAAGAATGGAAAAATTAAAAATCAAAAATTCGAAAAATCAAAACCGAAAAATTCAAAGATTTAAAAAGAAAATCGAAAAATCAAAAATCTGAAAACTGAAACTCGAAAATTTTGAAAATCGAAAAGTAAAAAATTGAAGTCTAAAAGCTGAAAAATGGAAAACTGAACAATCGAAAATTCGAAAATCAAATATCGAAAAATCAAAAAGCCGAAAAATCGAAAATTTGATAAATCAGATATGCGAAAAACAGAAAATCTGAAATACAAAACTGGAAAATCAAAAACCTAAAAATGGAAAAACCGAAAATCGAAAATTCAATTAATCTAATACGTAGGTCGATCGAAAAACTGGAAATTCACAAATCTGAAAAATCGAAAATTTGCAAGATTGAAAAACCGAGAATTGAAAAATTCGAAAATTCATAACATTGAAAACTCTAAAAGTCGACAATTCAAAAATCAAAAAACTGGAAAAAAATCATCGAAAAATCGAAAAGTAAACAAATTGCAATGCCTAAAAACTGACGAACAGAAAAATCGAAAAATCGTAAAATCAAAAAGTGGAAAATCGAAAACTGAAAATTGAAAAATCGAAGATTGGACAATCGAAAAATCGAAAATCGGAATATCGAAAATCGACAAATTAAAAAACCGAAAAATCGAAAAATAACAACGTTCTGGAGGGCCCTAAATGTACTTTTTAAAAATGAAAAATCTTCACAAAAGACCCAAATGTCTTTTTTAAAAATGTAAAACCTTCTCGGGGGCCCCAAGTGTATTTTTTTAAGGATATTAAATCTTCTAGGGGCTCCCAACTGTCTCTTTTAAACAAGGTAAAACCTTCTTTTTTCTATTACACTGTGACTAGTACCTTCTATATTGTTTTGACTCCATAGAGGTTATTGCGAGAAGATAAAATTTCGCAAAATCAAATAACTTTGGACCAATTTTTAATACTATAACGATTTAGTGTGCTTATGATTACTTTAAGGTGTTTGAGAACTTTCGAACCATTCGGATTTCTGCTTCTAAATTTTAATTATAAAATTTTACACAATTTTGATTTTTTTTTCCATAAATTTGCATGTATAGTATAAACACTGAACCCGGAATCATTGCACAAGTGTTGTGTTATTTTATAAAAATGAAATAATATTTAATGACGCGCAGTTTTAAGCAAATGTCATCAGACTAATGCTGGGGATGATTGTCCAACTTTTGGTAGCGTTTTGACAACAATCGCCCCGTAGTTTCGAAAATTGTTTCTATAATAAAAATCCACACAGACAGGCAGACAGAAACGGGTGATCTAGTTTTCCGAACTATAGGGGTCATGAAACGTCGGAAAAAAATATTATTGGAAACTAAAGATAAAAATTAAAACAAGCACTTGGATTCTTCATCTTGTTAAAGTACTATGCAGAAGAGGCATTTTTGTAAGCTGGAAATCTGAAAAACCTGAAATTTTACTTAAAAAATGTATGAAGAAATATCGTCACTAAAAGGTGAAAACAGGCAATCTAGTTAGAATAAAATAAAACTTCCGTTTGGTTTCGGCGTCGCTTTAAGAGGTGTAATTTTGTACACTGATTCTCGATTAAAACACATTTTACTGACGTCAGCGGTAACATTTAAATATTCCTTTTTCTGCATATGTCATAATTGTACTTGTAAATAAGTCAAGAAGCCTCATAAAAGTTTTATTAGAAATAATCATTTTGAACTAAGTATTGACCTGAACCTTCCGTGTTATTCCAGTCTTTGATCTAAAATTCATAGAATTCCAATTAATTATAGGGAACACAAGAAAAAACGTATAGCGCTTCTCCCATAAAAATCGAAGATGAGCCTTGCATTTGCATTACTGCATCAGTCCGTCACAAGTAACACGATGGTGAACATAATCAGAAAAAGTTTCGGTCTAAACTTATTCATACTGGAGACATTTTACTTGTGTCCTCCCAAAAAACCAAGTCTTTCATATAAAATTCAAAGCTACATCGCCTACGTGTTAATTATAGTGCTAGTGCCTGTCATCAGCATTCTCCACATTCTACTTGCAGAAGATCTAGACTTGGATCAAGTAAATTACAACGCTGCTTTCATAGCACAAACCACTTGCTTCATCACAAAATTTCTACCCTTCATTCTTGACAGTCAACGTATGAAAAATTGCATCTTTTACCCGGAAAGTGCTGCGTTTGCAACATCCAGAGACAATCACACAGCTATCATAAACGAATGCGTCAGAATTTGTCGAAGAAACAGCTTGGTGTTTTTTGTCGGCTCTGTTGGAGCTGCAGGTAGCTGGAGCACGAAACCGCTTCTCTGGAGAAGACGAGATTTTCCGGTCGATGTGTGGCTTCCCTTTGATGCCAAAGCAAACATCTTCGTCTTCTCTGTCGCCTATTTGGTTATCGGTATAGGTATGAATTTAATACTTATTTTTGCTACAATTTCCTTGTTTTCGTTCTAGGACCGTTTATTGCTGGTCTTTTAACAGCCGTCGTTGATCCTTTAATCGCAGGTCTTACCTTTCATGTTACAAGTCAGATGAAAGTTTTGAAAGATAATTTACAAAACCTGTCCGATTATGCCGACGAGTATATTCGGCAAATGAAAGTTAACGCGACAAAAAATGAAGTCATGATTGATAGCGTCAAGAAGTGTGTTGCTCATCACGATGAAATTCTAAAGTATCCAAATACGGTACTCAAGTACGACAATTTTATTTATTTTTTGTTTTAAATTTTCAGGTTTGTTAAGGAATTGGAAGACTGTTTTTCAATGGTGTTGTTCAGTCAAATGGCCGGTGCAATTTTCGTTCTTTGTTTTTCTTGTCTGCAGCTAAGCAAAGTATTATTAAGTATATATTTAATTGTGTAATTTTTAAACCGTAATTTTTTAGCTAAGCTCCATAGATTCTTACTTTGGACAGTTTGCGATGTATCTAATCGTTGTCCTGGTTGAAGTATATTTCTACTGCTACTACGGTTCTGCTCTTTCCGAAGAAGTAAGTACAGCTTTATTTTTCCTCACAAAATTAAAAAATTAAATAATATTTATATTGCTGAGTATATAATAATTCAAATTTTTTCACCCACTGGAATGGAAATTCACTATCGGAATTGATATATTTGTTCCCATTGAAAAATTGATGACATCATCAGAAAATCTCCGTCGAAACTTTGAGTATATTACTATGCTGCTCTACCTGCGATTCGATAATCCATTGCTAATTTTGTTTGAACTTAAAGTGATTATAAAAAAATATCTAAGTCACAGTGTCAATTTTCAATTTATTATTAATTAATTTTGTCCAATCAGAAATGCTTTAGACTTTTGACCGATGTGGTCAAATTATGCCCATTTCATTGAATTTAAGCCACCCTGTTTATATTTGCCATTTTCAGAGCGATTCGTTAAGAGATGCTATTTATATGGGTCCATGGTACACTTACGATGTCAAAACTCAGAGAACCCTGTTAACGATAATGGAACGTGCAAAAATACCTGTGACAATTACTGCTGGAAAACTTGTGGATTTGTCTCTGGTTACTTTTACCACGGTACGTAAATTCCGTGTCAGTGCTTTAGATTTTAAAATAATGGTTTTTAATTTCAGATTTTACAACGGTCTTATTCGCTAATAGCTGTCATGAAAAACTACCAGTAGTGAAACATTGCACAAAGTGCGTTGTTTGTATTTGTAAAAACACTGAATACATTAATTTTTTATTTATGGATCTGTCGACAAAAAAAAAACGGAAATGTCGGGGACCGACCCTTTAGTCAAGGTGGATTCATAAACCACAAGTACAGAAGTTTGTTATTGTAACAAATTTAAGTAGCATTGACAGCGCAAAATTTTGAGGTCACGTCAGTAAATTGATGGTGGGGATGATTTAACTTATACACAACAAAATTATAACACAGTTTACATGGCGGTACAAAACAATGTTGTATTATAGTTATATATCAGTGTGTTACGTAACACTGTTATGTTGTAGTTATATAAGAAAATTATCGCAATTATTGTTCCTATAACATGAATATCGAAATTATAACCGTGGATAAGTTTTTGGAATCAGCACATCTACATGTCAAAATTTCTGTTGTTCTTTTTTGGCAAATTTAAATTTTTAAAAAACAAAATGTTTCAATACAAAAATACAAGAAAATCGGCCAATTTTCACATTTTCTAAAACTTAACACTACGTTTTTGGAAGCAGCACGACGAATTTTTGTTGTTTTTCGGGAAATTTTTCATTAACAAAATGTGTTAGTGCAACAATATAAAAATTTCGGTCAAATTTACACAGTTTTCGAAATTTAACTAAAGACATACTTTCGGCCTCATTTTTTCGATAACCTTCCCCCATTCTTTCAAAATGGCTCACTAAAATATTTCAACTTTTTGGAATAAAAAAAAAATGATTATCAAACTGAAAATTTTTAGTCTTATCCTTTTAGAACTTTTTTTGGTTTAACTAAAGACATACTTTCGGCCTCATTTTTTCGATAACCTTCCCCCATTCTTTCAAAATGGCTCACTAAAATATTTAAACTTTTTGGAATAAAAAAAAAAATGATTATCAAACTGAAAATTTTTAATCTTATCCTTTTAGAACTTTTTTTGGGTTTTTGGTAAATTTTTCAAAAACAAAATATTTCAATACAAACAAAAATTTCGGCCAATTTTCGACAAGTTTCAGAATTTAACTAGAAATATTGTCTTACGAATTTCGAACGCCGGAAGTTACATTTGGCCTCATTTTTTTCGATAATTCCCTCCATTATTCCAGAATCGCTTAATAAAATATTGCAATTTTTATATTTTAAAAAAACTGATTTTCAAATCGAAAATTTTTAATCTTACCCAGAGAATATAAAACGTTTTTGGAGTCAGCACGATGAGATCTAAAAGCCAGAATTTTTTTGAGTTTCTTCTGTAAAATTTTTCAAAAAAATAAAAATATAAAATTTTCGGTCAATTTTCGAAACTTGACCAAAACATTTTCTTACCAGTTACTTTCGGCATTATTTTGATAGCTCCCTCTGTTCCAAAATCGCTTACTAAAAATATTGCAATTTTTTGGATTAAAAAAAATTTTCAACTCGAAAATTTTAAACCTTACCCGGTTATGCTTTTGGAATCACCACGACAAAATCTATAACTCAGAATTTTTTGTTTTTTTTAGTCAAATTTTTCAAATTTTTGGATTAAAAAAATTGGTAATCAAGCGGAAAATGTTTAATCTTATCCGGAGAGCAGAAACGCACGATGTTTTTAGAATCAGCACGATGAAATCCATAACTCAGAATTTGTTTGTTTTTTTTGTCAAATTTTTTTAGTTTCAATATAAAACTAAAAAAAATTCTGTCAATTTTAGACAACTTTCAAAGCTTCACTAGAGACATTTTCTTACGGATATCAAAATTATAACCTAGATTTCTTGCGGCTTTTTTTGGTAAGTTTTCCAAAAACTCGATTTTTCTGTATTCTCCATACGAAAATTTCGACATTTGACGACTACCTACGACAATAGAGATTTTTTGTAGATTTCAACAAGTAGAAATTATTTGCCTCATTATTTCTTGGAAAACTTTTACCGCCCTACCAGAATCGCTAAATGAAAAATGGCAATTATTACAATTAAAAAAAAAACTAATACACTTCCCTTATGAAAATTTCGAAATTTTTACAACCTTGACCACAACTTAATTAATTATTAATTAATCTATTTAACCAAAATTTTAACATCATAAACATTTTTTGACATACCATGTTTGTTTTTACTATTTTCAGAGAGATTCATTAAGAGATGCTATTTATATGGGTCCATGGTACACCTGTGATATTAGAATCCAGAAAACCTTAATCATAATAATGGAACAAGTTGTTCAATGTACTTTAATATAAATTGGGTTACAAACATTTTTTATAAATAAAGTTTTTACACTGTTTTTTGTTTTTTGGCAAAAATGTTTTAACTGTAGATTTTAAAAATCTGTACTCAATATCGCTGTTTTGAAAACCTACCAATAAAGATAACCACAAATTTGTCTTCCTTTCACCTCACATTATTTTAATGTCATCAATATATCAAAGTAATTACAGCAAAACTGTTTATTCCTACATTATCGATAAGCTAAATCAGTTGAAATAAGCCATTGTGGTACCATTTTCCAGCTGCAAGAACCCTCTTCAGCTTCCAAAAATTCAATCAAATGTTACAGGTCAAAACAAATATTTTCTTATCACGAATGTAAATCCATAAATAAAAAACGAAATTTCGGTCCGAAGCGTGGACTTCTGTTACGGGATCGATGACTCCGATTAAAGCGATCGAGCTCTCCTTAGTTTTCAGTGTTGCGTTGTTTTGCGCTATTCATGAGCTGCACCACATGCGCATCCTCGATGAGCAAGGTCTGTTTCACGAGACAATTTGAGTTAAAATTCCCCCTGGTAACATTGTTTAAAATGACCCATGAACTTTACTCTCAAGAAAATTGACATAACACTTCCCTTACGAAAATTTCGTCCTTTTTTCGATTTTCAACAATAACCTAAAGAAATTATTTTGTGGATTTAAACGTACTTGAACATTAATTCTTCTCGAGTTCATTTCTACAAAAATTTCTAGTATTTTTCAAAAAAGTTTCAAAACGAATATGTCGAAAACACCATAAGTACCTCTTTTTCGAAAAGGTAATCGTCTCTCTATCAGAATTTTTTGTGGATTATTAGGCAACTTTCAAAAGTTAAATTTTTCAATACTGCCTTCTCCAAAACAAATCCAGTTTTTAGAAAAAATATAAGACAGCCACACAAAAAAAATGGAAATGTCGGGGACCGACCCTTTAGTCAAGGTGGATTCATAAACCACAAGTACAGAAGTTTGTTATTGTAACAAATTTAAGTAGCATTGACAGCGCAAAATTTGGAGGTCACGTCAGTAAATTGATGGTAGGGGTGATTTAACTTATACACAACAAAATTATAACAGAGTTTACATGGCGGTACAAAAAAATGTTGTATTATAGTTATATATCAGTGCGTTATGTAACACTCTTATGTTGTAGTTATATAAGAAAATTATCGCAATTTTTGTTCCTATAACGTGAATATCGAAATTATAACCTAGATTTCTTGCGGGTTTTTTTTGGTAAGTTTTCCAAAAACTCGATTTTTCTGTATTCTCCATACGAAAATTTCGACATTTGACGACCACCTACGACAACACAGAGATTTTTTGTAGATTTCAACAAGTAGAAGTTATTTGCCTCATTATTTCTTGGAACACTCTTACCACCCTATCAGAATCGCTAAATGAAAAATGGTAATTATTAGAATTAAAAAAAAACTAATACATACACTTCCCTTATGAAAATTTCGACATTTTTACAACTTTGACAACTTAATTATAAATTAAGCTATTTAACCAAAATTTTAACCTCATAAAAATGTTTTGATACACCATGTTTATTTTTACCATTTTCAGAACGATTCATTAAGAGATGCTATTTATATTGGTCCATGGTACACCTGTGATATTAGAATCCAGAAAACCTTATTCATAATAATGGAACAAGGTGTTCAATGTACTTTAATATAAATTGGGTTACAAACATTTTTTATAAATAAAGTTTTTATACTGTTTTTTGTTTTTTGGCAAAAATATTTTAACTGTTGATTTTAAAAATTTGTATTCAATATCGCTGTTTTGAAAACCCACCAATAAAGACAACCACAAATTTGTCTTCCTTTCACCTCACATTATTTTAATGTCTGCAATATATCAAAGTAAATACAGCAAAAATACAATCAAATGTTACAGGTCAAAACAAATATTTCCTTATCACGAAAGTAAATCCATAAATAAAAAACGAAATTACACACTCCAGCTACGGGATCGATGACTCCGATTAAAGCGATCGAGCTCTCCTTAGTTTTCAGTGTTGCGTTGTTTGGCGCTATTCATGAGCTGCACCACATACGCATCCTCGCTGAGCGAGGTCTTTTATAACTCTTCTCTTACGAAAATTTCGACCTTTTTTCGATTTTTAACAATAACCTAAAGAAATTATTTTGTGGATTTCGACGTACTTGAACATTAATTCTTCTCGAGTTCATTTCTTCAAAAATTCCTACTATTTTTCAAAAAAATTTCAAAACGAATATGTCAAAAGCACCTTTTTTTTGAAAAGGTAATCATCTATCAGAATTTTTTTTGGATAATTAGGCAACTTTCAAAAGTTAAAATTTTCAATACTCCCTTCTCTACTTTTGAAAATTCGGCGTTTTTCGACCACTTTCGAAAATAAGTCAGAGATTTTTTGTAGATTTTCACCTCCAGAAAGCCTCATTTTTTCGAAAACTGCTACCACTTTCCCAGAGCCCCCAATACCAACATAAGGCAATTTTTAAAATAAAGAACGTCGACAGCTACATCCCAAAATTGTTTGTGGATTTTTTGACAACTTTTTCTGAAGTTAAGTTTTTCAATACACTTACCTGAAAATGGGCAGTTTTTTTGAGCACTTTCTAAAATTATCTAAAAAGATTTTTTCTAGGTTTCTAGTTCCGGAAATTACGTTCGCCTCATTTCTTCGGAGAATCGTACCATTTTTCCAAAATCGTCAAACCAAAATTTTTGTGGATTTTTAGACAACTTGTTCAAAAGTTACTTTTCTCAATACTCCCCATTTATGAAAATTTTCACCTTTTTTCGACCACCTTCGTAATTGTCTAAGAAGATTGTTTTGTTTATTTCGATCTCTAGAAGTTATTTCTTCGAAAACACCTACTACTTCATTGAAGTGTTGCAACTTTTAGAAAATCAGCAGGTAGATATCCATGCCTACGAATTTTTTGTGAATTTTTGAGCAACTTCTTAAAAACTTCAATTTTTCAATATTTAGGTAAATTTCGGCTCATAATGAACACCTTCAGATGACATCATAGCTTAATTTTATTTAAAAATTTAACATGACCTGTGAACAACATTTCAGATAAGAAAATCTTTTATAAACTGCACTGTTGGACTAATTTTTCTGGCTGAGGACTGTGGCGTCGAATGCGACTAATTTTTTGAAATAATTGCCCTTTTTGTTCAAACAGTTGACCTTTTTAAAATTACAATTAAAATTACGTACTAACTTTAATGCTGCACTCACTAAACAAGCTGTCCAAAATAACAAAAGGGGCTAAAAATTAGATTTAAATACAACTTTCTGACATATCTTTGGGACGCTGTTTCAAGAGATCTTTGTCTCTCCATTTATCAAAGTAAACGTTATTTTTAATAAAATCCCAAAGAAAATAACCAATGGGGTTTAAATCAGGCGATCTCGGGGGTCATCTTATTAGGCGGTTTTGATACATTTCTGTTAAAAAAATATCCACCTTTCTCACGTTGTGAGGTGGGTGAGCAACAGGAAGAACGCCAAAACTGTATCCAAAAGCGTGTTAATAGCTTACCTCATGGAAAAATCGAAAACTTTGAAAAGTTCAAGCTTATAGAGTATGCTCAAGTGCATATAAAGAGATTGACGTAAGAAAATATTTAAAGTTGGTGACTGTTTTGAAGAAAAAAGGAGTGGGTTATAGAGACCAAAAAGCAAAATCAGGTTATTTTTGGAAAAAGCTAACGACAGAAACGATTCGCTGTGGAAAGTAAATATAAACAAATTTCACTTAAATTGTGTAATTTATTGTTGTTTGATTAAGTAGTTTTGATTGTGATGAGTTGTGATGACATCCAGGACCTATTAAAAAAACATTATTAAAAAATGTAAGTAGCTAATTGTGCCTGTAGATAAGTCAAGAACCTTCATAAAAGTTTTATTAGAAATAATCGTTTTGAAGTAAGTATTGAACTGAAGCTTCTGTGTTATTCTAGTCTTTGATCTAAAATTCATACAATCCCTATTAATTATAGAGAACACAAGAATAAACGGTATAACGCCCATTTTAAAAAAATCGAAGATAAGCCTTGCATTTGTATTAGTGCATCAGTCAGTTACAAACAACACGATGGTGAACGCAATTAAAAGAAGTTTCGCTCTAAACTTATTCATATTGGAGACATTTTACTTGTGTCCTTCCAAAAAGCAAACCTTTTCATATAAACTTCAAAGCTACGTCTCGTACGTGTTGATTATAATCCTAGTTCCCGTTGTCAGTACCCTCCACCTTCTTCTTGCAGAAGATCTAGACCTGGATCGCGTAATTTACAACGCTGGGTTTATAGTACAGGGTCATTATAAAATATTGTAGTCAACTCACCTATGAAAAACAAATGAAATTTTTCTCGTGCCGCTAATCACCAAAATGATTTGAACTGTTTTGAAATGTCACGAACCTCCAAACAAATCTGTCAGATGTGTCAAAAATTGAAATGCCCGGTTCGCGGTTTAATTTCATTTTAAATAAAGACGCCAGGCCAGAGCATTAAGGGTTGCAGTGTTATCGGGCATTTGTGAACGCCACTGCAAATACTGCAATACATTTCAGTTTCAAAAATTGTAAATTGTCAGAAAAACGTTTAAGGGCTTTGTCATGAATTACACCTTGGAAAGTCGATTGGAGTTGAACAGAATAAATCATCTGGTCTGTTTTGCAAAGAAGCAATAATTTTTCAAATAATGAAATCCAAAAAGTGAGGTTAAGTTTGTCGAAACCAATGAACACGGTAATTATTTAAAAAATTACATTTTTATAGGTACCCTGAAGGTAAAAATTGTGAAAAATCAAGTAATGGACAATGGCAGAGCAAGTCTTATCACAGTTAACGAACACTATGAGTACCTAATGAGTTTTTGCAGTAAATAATTTTGCCAAAGTTGTGATCCCGCGAAAGTTCTGTTTGTAAATTGTAAGGAATCGTCAAAATATTGGTGCAGACATGGTTTGTGACCGGTGCTTTTCTCTTGAAAAAACACAACTGAAATCCTTGATCTTCATCCCTACAATAGGTGAAAACTGCTATGTCCAAACATTACCTTCAGCTTTGCAGTTTCTAGATATCTGAAACATGCCAGATCTGCATAACAGGAATGTCAAAGAGGTTCTACCCAAAACACGCCCACATGGCCATCCTAATATCAAGATTTTTCAAAATTTCTATAAGAAAAAAGATGAAAAAACCAATAAAATTTCAGGAGCATAGTGTTAAGAGTTCTGTAGCTGATTATGAGATCTCTTGAAACAACAGAATGTTTAATAAAGATTTTTAACTTTCCTAATAGTAAAATTACAATTATTACTAAACAGTAAGTTGAAGTAAGTTTTAAATTAAGAGAATGCAACTAACACCGAAAGAAAAATGAAAGTTACTGAAAATAAAAAACTTTATTGCAGTACCTACACACACTTTCTACATCTAATTTTGTTTATTGATCACATTCATTTACTTGAAAAAGTATCAGGCCTATGAATCGTCGTCTGCTAACCACACACCAACCTTCATTGCGTGTGATGGTGTTTCTTCAAAAGCGTGAGTATTTTCTATACACCAAATTCTGAAGTTCTGTCAGTTGACATAATAGCCTAACAGATGAAACCAGGCTTCATCAGAAAAGAACGACAAATCGAGAATCCCGTTATCGTCCATATCAGCTTGAAACCAACTACACTACCCAACGCGGCAAGGAAAATCAGCTGGTTGCAGCTCCTGAACCAACAAAATCTTGTATGGATGCATATGTAACTTCTCTTTTACGATTTTCTGACATGGGCTGTATGGTACTCCGGACAGTAAAGATTTTTGACAAAGCTTTATTCGGACTTTGTTCCATTCTCATCCTTAAATCTTCAACAACGTCTTCACTAACTTGAGGTCTCTCCGTCGGTTTTCACTTAGAAATGCTACCAGTGTCGTTAAATCTGGCCATAATTCGCCATATAGCGTCTTCAAAGATTCTTCATCAATGACAACAGAACATTTCACTAGATACTCGTTTTTAGACGCCTCCACAGAGTACACTCCATCCCCATCCTCATTTAACACCCCATTACGGTAATAGGCATGATGATTGCGCCAAAGAACTAAAAAAATCATTTGTAACACTGACCATAGTTATTCCTCTCTGTTCATTACCTGAGATTAATCCACAATGATCTGTAGTTTTGATAAAAACGGTTTTTTGAGACACTTATTAAAGTTCTAACAAAGGGGAAGACAGCAAAAATGAAAACAAGACAAGTCAATTAACGCACAAAGTGAGGGAAAACGTACCAGTACAAACGAAAAAATTATTGACATCTGACAGAATTTGATGAAGCGTTGAAACAGTGCAGCCGCTAATGTCAACTAATGTGGCGCTAAAAATAAAAATTCCAATATTAGTGTAATCCTTTCCACAAAACTGAAAAAGGCGGCACAAAATGTCACCAAAATCATGGCCTTCTTCGACTACAATATTTTATAATGACCCTGTACAAACTACTTGCTTTATTACAAAATTTTTACCTTTTCTTCTTGATGGTCAACGAATGAAAAATTGCATCTTTTACTTGGAAAATGCTGCGTTTCAAACATCCAGAAACAATCACACAACGATTATAAATGAATGCATTGGAATTTGTCGAAGAAATAGCTTGGTGTTTTTTGCGGGATCTGTTGTGGCTGCAAGTGTTTGGGCCACGAAACCACTTCTTTGGAAAAGACGAGATTTTCCAGTCAATGTGTGGCTGCCCTTCGATGCGAAAGCGAACATCTTCATCTTCTCGTTCACTTATTTAATTATCGCTTTAGGTACGTACTAAAAGTCATCTGTGTTTCAAGCAACCAGTAATTTTTTTTTTATAGTTTAATGTCGTTTTCTAAAAATTTTTATTTTTTGATTTTAGGGCCATTTATTGCCGGTCTTTTAACAGGCGTCGTTGATCCTTTGATCGCAGGTCTAATCTATCATGCAACAAGTCAGATAAAAATTTTGAAAGATAATTTACAAAATCTGTCCGACTGTGCCAAGCACAAAGTTAATTCGGCGAAAGATGCGACAAAAGAAGAAGTTATGATTGAAGCCCTCAAGAAGTGTATAACACATCACGATGAAATCCTAAGGTGGATATATATAGTTAAACAATTTTATCAATTCTTTGTATAAAATTTTCAGATTTCTTAAGGAATTCGAAGACTGTTTTTCGTTGGTGTTGTTCAGTCAAATTGCGGGCGCAATATTCGTTATTTGTTTTTGCTGTGTACAGATAGGCAAAGTATTACTACGTATCTCCTCACATGTACAATTTTAAAACGACAATTTTTTAGCTAAACAGTATAGATTCCTACTTTGGACAGTTTGCGATGTATCTAATGGTCGTCTTGGCCCAAGTATATTTCTACTGCTACTACGGTTCTACTCTTTCTGAAGAAGTAAGTAAAGTGCATTTACTAATTTTTGATAATTAAAGTTAACTTTTTTTTGTTATTAAAATGATCGACAAAAAGTGTTTGAAAATACATAAAAGAAACAAGTGACTGGAGTGAAATTTTGGACATATCGAGGATTATCATGTAGACTGTAAAACGATAACCAAAATTTGTTCACTCAATCCTGCAGAAAAATTAATGACGTACTATATACTTACTAAAATTTTGACGACGCTATCTTAAAATTTTGCCAATTTGATTTCATATTGGGGTGTTTCTTTCAACTGTTCTGCCGCCCCTCCCCACTCCTCCGCTTCTTTTTTACAATCAAAGGAAAGTTAGTATATGTATTAAAGAAAAAAACCAAAAAGCTGCGAGTTTATTTAATTTAACGAAATATTAAAAAAATAATTCGAACATGAAATTGTGGGTTTTCGTAAACTGAAGTTCAAAAGTCTAAAAGTGCTTTAAATTGTAACTACTAACCCCGCCCACCCTTCCTCTATTTTCTTAGAGAGTATATCATTTGCCAAAGTCAGTGTTACCTTTACATTTTGTCTTTTTTTCTTAATATGTGTAGTCATCTTTTCCCAACAAGAAACTTAAAACATGGTAAATTTGTACAAGGAAATATCGATTTTGCAATTACTCTCCGCCCCTGGGTCTGACAACGAATAAAAAATATAAATACTTATGCCTTCTTTTTTTAATATACATGGCCATCTTTTCACAACAAGAATTTTAGAGCAAAATCGATATTTCTTATACAAATTTTCCATTTTAAACATGTTTTAAGTTTCATGTTGTGAAAAAACACGTTAAAACAAAAAGGCGAAAGGTCAGCCCGCTCACCCACCCCATCTCAATTGTGATGATTTTTTTATTGGCCGTGAACCAAGGGGGCGGAACTTAACTGCAAAATCCTTGTTTCTTTACAAGAAATTAAAAACATGTTTTTGAGTATCGTCTTGTTAAAAAAATACTACGCATATTAAGAAAAAATGGCAAAATATAAATCCCGCCCACCCATCCCGTCTCAATTGTACTAATTTTTTTGAGTCTTAGAAACTTAGAACACATTTAACATAGTAAATTTTTGTAAGGCAATATGGATTTTGTAATTATTCCGTCCCTCGCCTTACGACGAATACAAAAATCATCAGAATTGAGATAGGGCGGGTGGGCGGGGCTTATATTTTGCCTTTTTTTTATATCCTTAGCAATCTTTTCGCAACAACAAACTTAAAACATGGTTAAAATGGTACATTTTAGCAAGGAAACAAGGATTTTTCAATTGTGGGGCGGAGCCTAATTGCAAAATCGATATTTCTTAACACAAATTTTCCATTTTAAACATGTTTTAAGTTTAATGTTGTGAAAAAACATATTAAAACAAAAACGCAAAAGGTCAGTCCGCCCACCCACCCTATCTCAATTGTGATGATTTTTTTATTGGCCGTGAAGCAAGGGGGCGGAACTTAACTGCAAAATGCTTGTTTCTTTACAAGACATTAAAAACATGTTTTTGAGTATCGTCTTGTTAAAAAAATACTATGTATATTAAGAAAAAAAGGGCAACATATAAACCCCGCCCACACATTCCGTCTCAATTGTAATGATTTTTTTTAGTCTTAGAAACTTAAAACACATTCAACATAGTAAATGTTTGTAAAGTAATATGAATTTTATAATTAGGATCCGCCCCTCGGCTTACGACGAATAAAAAATCATCAGAATTGCGACAGGGAGGGTGGGCGGGGCTTATATTTTGTCCTTTTTTTTTAATATACATAGCCATCTTTTAGCAACAACAAACTTAAAACATGGTTATAATGGTACATTTTTGCAAGGAAACATGAATTTTGCAAAATCGATATTTCCTTATACAAATTATACATTTTAAACATGTTTTAAGTTTCATGTTGTAAAAGACATATTAAAACAAAAAGGCAAAAGGTCAGCCCGCCCACCCACCCTATCTCAATTGTGATGTTTTTTTTATTGGCCGTGAACCAAGGGGGCGGAACTTAACTGCAAAATACTTGTTTCTTTACAAGAAATTAACAACATGTTTTTGAGTATCGTCTTGTTAAAAAAGTACTATGTATATTAAGAAAAAAGGGCTAAACTTAAACCTCGCCCACCCATCCCGACTCAGTTGTATTGATTTTTTTTAGTCTTAGAAACTTAAAACACATTTAACATAGTAAATTTTTGTAAGGCAATATGGATTTTCTAATTAGGATCCGCCCCTCGGCTTATGACGAATAAAAAAATCATCAGAATTGAGATAGGGCGGGTGGGCGGGGCTTATATTTTGCCTTTTTTTAATATCCTTAGCAATCTTTTCGGAACAACAAACTTAAAACATGGTTAAAATGGTACATTTTAGCAAGGAAACAAGGATTTTGCAATTGTGGGGCGGAGCCTAATTGCAAAATCGATATTTCTTTACACAAATTTTCCATTTTAAACATGTTTTAAGTTTAATGTTGTGAAAAAACATATTAAACAAAAAGGTAAAAGGTCAGTCCGCCCACCCACCCTATCTTAATTGTGATGATTTTTTTATTGGCCGTGAACCAACGGGGCGGAACTTAACTGCAAAATACTTGTTTATTTACAAGAAATTAGAAACATGTTTTTGAGTATCGTTTTGTTAAAAAAATACTATGTATATTAAGAAAAAAAGGCAAAACATAAACCCCGCCCATCCATCCCGTCTCAGTTGTATTGATTTGTTTTAGTCTTAGAAACTTAAAACACATTTAACATAGTAAATTTTTGTAAGGCAATATGGATTTTCTAATTAGGATCCGCCCCTCGGCTTATGACGAATAAAATAATCATCAGAATTGAGATAGGGCGGGTGGGCGGGGCTTATATTTTGCCTTTTTTTTATATATTTAGCAATCTTTTCGCAACAACAAACTTAAAACATGGTTAAAATGGTACATTTTGGCAAGGAAACAAGGATGTTGCAATTGTGGGGCGGAGCCTAATTGCAAAATCGATATTTCTTTACAGAAATTTTCCGTTTTAAACATGTTTTAAGTTTTATGTTGTAAAAGACATATTAAAACAAAATAGCAAAAGGTCAGCCCGCCCGCCCACCCTATCTCAATTGTGATGATTTTTTTATTGGCCGTGAACCAAGGGGGCGGAACTTAATTGCAAAATACTTGTTTCTTTACAAGAGGTTAAAAACATGTTTTTGAGTATCGTCTTGTTAAAAAAATGCTATGTATATTAAGAAAAAATGGCAAAACATAAACCCCGCCCACCCATCCCGACTCAGTTGTATTGATTTTTTTTTATTCTTAGAAACTTAAAACACATTTAACACAGTAAATTTTTGTAAGGCAATATGGATTTTGTAATTAGGATCCGCTCCTCGGCTTACGACGAATAAAAAAATCATCAGAATTGAGATGGAGCGGGTGGGCGGGGCTTATATTTTGTCTTTTTTTTTTAATATACATAGCCATCTTTTCACAACAACAAACTTAAAACATGGTTAAAATGGTACATTTTGGCAAGGAAACAACAAAGAGCCTAATTGCAAAATAGATATTTATTTACATAAATTTTCCATTTTAAACATGTTTTAGTTTTCATCTTGTGAAAAGACATATAAAAACAAAAAGGCAAAAGGTCAGCCCGCCCACCCACCCTGTCTCAATTGTGATGATTTTTTTATTGGCCGTGAATCAAGGGGGCGGAACTTAATTGCAAAATACTTGTTTCTTCACAAGAAATTAAAAACATGTTTTTGAGTATCGTCTTGTTAAAAAAATACTATGTATATTAAGAAAAATGGGCAAGACATAAACCCCGCCCACCCATCCCATCTCAGTTGTATTGATTTGTTTTAGTATTAGAAACTTAAAACACATTTAACATAGTAAATTTTTGTAAGGCAATATGGATTTTTTAATTAGGATCCGCCCCTCGGCTTACGACGAATAAAAAAATCATCAGAATTGAGATAGGGCAGGTGGGCGGGGCTTATATTTTGCCTTTTTTTTATATATTTAGCAATCTTTTCCCAACAACAAACTTAAAACACGGTTAAAATGGTACATTTTGGCAAGGAAACAAGGATTTTGCAATTGTGGGGCGGAGCCTAGTTACAGAATCGATATTTCTTTACACAAATTTTCCATTTTAAACATGTTTTAAATTTCATATTGTAGAAGACATATTAAAACAAAAAGCTAAAAGGTCAGCCCGCCCACCCACCCTATCTCAATTGTGATGAGACTCAAATTTTCAATTTTTTTATTTTGATTTCTTGGTTATTGGATTTTTCGATATTCGAATTTTTTTAAATTTTGATTTTTCGATTCTAGAATTTTCGACTTTTTAACTTTCTATTACTTTTTTTTCTATAATTCGATTTTTGGATTTTCCGATTTCTTGGAATGTGAAGTTTTCTATTATTTCATTAATCGAATTTTCGATTTTTTTTCGATATTCGAATTTACAATTGGTTTCACTTGTTTTCAAATTTTCAATTCTTCGATTTTTAAAATTTTTGATTTGTTTTTTTTTCAAATTTTCCACTCCTCAGTTTTAGGCTTTTCAATTTTTTTACTTTTCGATTATTCGATATTCGAATTTTCAATTTTTACATTCTTCAGTTTTTCGATTTTTCAAGACAGATTTTGGCACTTTTAACATTTTCGACCATTTTTCAATTAATTTGATATTAACGGAACATAAGTAATCCCAACCACCCACCCACCCTCCCTCCTTTTGAGTGATTGATTTTATCCAATCTGCATGAAATAAATGATTTTAAACTGAACTGAAATATAGTTAGCTCTTAGAATGAGAAGAGGTGGTTGGGTGGGCGGGATTAGTACTTGCTAAGATAAGACTGATTTTGGCAAATCACATATCCTCTAAGAAAATAGAGGGTGCGTGGGCGGGGCTAGTATTTGATAAGATAGTACTGATTTGGCACTCTTGACATTTTCGACTATTTTTCAACTATTTCCGAAAATTAGTTGGACATTCTCTGAACATAATAAGCCCCACCCACCCACCCGGCCTCCTTTTCAGTAATTGATTTTATTCGAAATTAATGATTTTGTATTGAAAAGAAATAAAATTAGTCGTGAGAATGAAAAAAAGGGTGGGGGATGGGGGGTGGAACTGGTACTTCCTAAGATAAGACAGATCTTGGCAAATGACATACCTTCTAAGAAAATAGAGGGTGGGTGGGCGGGGGTAGTACTTGCTAAAATAAAACTGATTTTGGTAAATGACATACCTTCCAAGAAAATACAGGGTGGGTAGGCGGGGATAGTATTTGATAAGATTCCTACGTTCTATATTTCGATTCCTCGATTTTTAGATTTTCAATTTCCGGTTTATCGATTTCTTGGATTTCCATGTTTTCGAATATTTGATTCATCTAATTTTCGTTTCTTTTTTTCGATGTGAATTTTCAATTGGTTTCATTCCTTTTCATTTCCTGGATTTTTCAATTTCGCATGTTCGAATTTTTGATTTGTGGTTTTTTTAATTTTTCCGCTCGTCAATTTTATTTAGAATTTTCGATACTCAAATTTTCGATTCTAGAACTTTCGACTTTTCAATTTTCTATTACTTTTTTTTCTGTTTCGATTTTTGGGTTTTCGGATTTCTTGGAATTTCAAGTTTTCTATTATTTCATTAATCGAATTTTCGATTTTTTTTCGATATTCGAATTTTCAATTGGTTTCATTCCTTTTCGATTTTTCAATTCTTCGATTTTTAAAATTTTCGATTCGTGCTTTTTTCAATTTTTCCACTCCTCAGTTTTAGGCTTTTCAATTTTTTTACTTTTCGATTATTCGATATTCGAATTTTCAATCTTTTTATTTTTCAATTTTTCGAATTTTCAATTTTTACAGTCTTCAGTTTTTCGATTTTTCAAGACAGATTTTGGCACTTTTGATATTTTCGACCATTTTTTAACTAATATGATATTTGCGGAACATAATTAATCCCACCCACCCACCTTCCCTCCTTTTGAGTGATTGATTTTATCCAATCTGAATGAAATGAATGATCTATACTGAACTGAAATATAGTTAGTTCTTAGAATGAGAAGAGGAACTTAACTGCAAAATACTTGTTTCTTTACAAGAAATTAAAAACATGTTTTTGAGTATCGTCTTGTTAAAAAAATACTATGTATATTAAGAAAAAAGGGCAAAACATAAACCCCGCCCACCCATCCCGACTCAACTGTATTGATTTTTTTTAGTCTTAGAAACTTAAAACACATTTAACATAGTAAATTTTTGTAAGGCAATATGGATTTTGTAATTAGGATCTGCCTGTCGGCTTACGACGAATAAAAAAATCATCAGAATTGCGATAGGGCGGGTGGGCGGGGCTTATATTTTGCCTTTTTTTTATATCCTTAGCAATCTTTTCGCAACATCAAAGTTAAAACATGGTTAAAATGGTACATTTTGGCAAGGAAACAAGGATTTTGTAATTATGGAGCGGAGCCTTATTGCAAAATCGATATTTCTTTACACACATTTTCCATTTTAAACATGTTTTAAGTTTAATGTTGTGAAAAAACATATTAAAACAAAAAGGCAAAAGGTCAACCCGCCCACCCACCCTATCTCAATTGTCATGATTTTTTTATTGGCCTTGAACCAAGGGGGCGGAACTTAATTGCAAAATACTTGTTTCTTTACATGTTTTTGAGTATCGTCTTGTTAAAAAAATGCTATGTATATTAAGAAAAAAGGGCAAAACATAAACCCCTCCCACGTATCCCGACTCAGTTGTATTGATTTTTTTTAGTCTTAGAAACTTAAAACACATTTAACATAGTAAATTTTTGTAAGGCAATATGGATTTTGTAATTAGGATCCGCCCCTCGTTTTACGACGAATAAAAAAAAATCATCAGAATTGCGATAGGGCGTGTGGGCGGGGCTTATATTTTGCCTTTTTTTTAATATACATAGCCACCTTTTCACAACAACAAACTTAAAACATGGTTAAAATGGTACATTTTGGCAAGGAAACAACAACGAGCCCAATTCCAAAATCGATATTTCCTTAAACAAATTTTACATTTTAAACATGATTCAGGTTTCATGCTGTGAAAAGAAGTCTGCACATTTTAAAACAAAAAGGCAAAACGTAAGCCCGCCCACCCACCCTATCTCAATTGTGATGATTGTTTTTATTCGTCGTAAGCCAAGAAGGCGGATTTTTTTTTTACAGAAATTCTACTTTTCCACTTTTCATATCAGTAAATTCAAATATTATATATTTTACGTTAAGGCTGTCTAATAGTACACTTTCAAGGGATATAATGGCTAAATTGCTTAAGTTCTCCTGTACCAGTGATGATCAAAGATGTTTTTGTTTTCTCGACGTTTCATGACCCTACAGTAGTCTCCCGTTTCCGTACGTCTGTCTGTCTGTGTGGTATTTGTATCCAATTTTATTAGACACGTAAACTCCAAAACTGCTGGGCCGATTGTTGTCAAATTTTGTATGTATATTAGAAATATCATCTGGATGGTTAAATATCACCCAAGATTTGTATAATCGTCCCCTCCAACAATTTGATGACGCCATTTCAATGGAAAATATACAGTTGCAAGGTATAATAACGTTATACTTTTTTTTGCATTGGTAGTACGCTGCGACTACTTTTCTTTTTACCCATGTTGGTCTTATCATTACAAATTTTTAATTGGTCAAATCACCCCATTTTCTCGAAAACTTGGAAAACACGTCTTTATAATAATAATGATAAAATAAGAATTATAATATTCCGAACATTTTGTTCGATTGCAATTAATTTCTACGTGACATTCTTTCGATGTCTAAACATAAATAAACACTTGAGCTTCGGATTGCTATTACCTAGTGCTGAAGGACATTTTATCACGTAAATTATATGCTTTAACTATATTCTACATTGTCTTCTTTTTATACTGAGCACCGGATAATTTTTTTGTACAAAGATTCTTTATGAAAATATTGTCGCTATAAACATCATTTACAACAATAAGTCCGTCATTCTCAAAATGTAATTTTGAATCATAAAGGCTTACATTCATGGTCTATACTCGTTAATGGCTGCCGAAAAAATTATTAATAAATTTTAATTAATATCTGTGTACTTAATGAGTATGTTGACTCAAAACTTTTTGCTTACCATTTCCAGAGCGATTCGTTAAGGGATGCTATTTATATGGGTCCATGGTACACTTACGACATACGAACCCAGAGAACGTTGTTGACAGTAATGGAACGTGCAAAAATACCTGTGATAGTTACTGCTGAAAAACTTGTCGATTTGTCTTTGGTTACTTTTACCACAGTAAGTAAGTTAATGGTTTAGATTTTAAAATTAATCTTTTGAATTGCAGATTTTACAGCGCTCTTATTCGCTCATAGCGGTCATGCAAAACTACCAATAGTGGAACACTGTGCAAAATCTTTGTGTCTGTGAATATCTGATTCTAAAATAAATGCACTGAAGCACTGTATTAATTTTTTATTTCTTTGCTATTCCACCTAGGTTTCTGTCATTTCTACTGTACTGTTTAAAATATTAGTCAATCTTTAAATTATAATCGCGTTTCTTTGCGCACATCGCTGCACTCAAAGAAGCCGCAGTGAATGTTTTATTAACCGAGGGTAGATAACATTTTAAAGTTTATCGAACAGAAGCTTAAATCTTTGATGAAAAATTAATCACCGTTAATTAGAGGACCACATTTCAACCCAAAAATTACAAAAATCAGTCTATATAGTCGCTCTAAAAACAACTCAAACGACTTTTACATTCCCCTTCACGAAATAATGTCGAACATCATCACAAAAAGTTTCAGAATAAATTTATTCATAATGAAGCTGTGTCACTTGTATCCTCCGGAAAAACGAACCACTTTATTCAAAATTCGAGCTTACTTAATCCAGATTTTGTTCGTCGTGCCTGTTCCCGTTTTAGGAATAATTTATTTATTGACGGAGAAAAATTTAGATGTGGAGAAAGCCAATTACAATGCTGGGTTTCTAGCTCAAGCCACGTGTCTTATTGCAAAATTGTTTCCTTTCATTCGAGATGGAGATCGTATTAAAGGGTGCATTATGTACTTTGAAACGTATTGTGTTTCGTTGAAAAAGCAGCGTCAGAAAAGTATTATCAACGATTGTGTTAATGTTTGTCGCAGAAACACGTTTATTTTTTTGTTTTGTGTAACAGGAGGGGTGACAAGTTGGGCCACAAGACCTCTTTTTTGGAATGGTCGTAATTTACCAGTGGATTTGTGGTTACCGTTTAACCCTTACAAAAACTGGTTTGTGTATAGTTGTGTTTATGTTTATGTAACAGTAGGTAAATATTCATTATTGTTGTGTAAGTATCATAGTCATAGTCATAGTACGTTTTTACAGGTGAATTATTTTCTTCTTTGGTCACTGGAATACTCGATCCTTTAATTGCTGGTCTTGTTTACCATGCTACAGGTCAAATTAAAATTTTAAAAGACAATTTAGAGCACCTCCTGGAATTTGATAACGAAAAACTTACTGTTAATGAAATGACAAAAAATGTGTTAATATACAACCGTATCAAACGCTGTGTCGTGCATCATAATGCAACTTTAAGGTAGTCTTCGTCGTCAAGTGATAATGATAAGTCCGATCATGTTGTACTACTTTCAGTTTCATCAAAGAGTTTGAGGAGTGTTTTTCCCCTGTTGTTTTTAGCCAGTTTGCCGGTAGCGTGTTTGTTATTTGTTTCTGCTGTCTACAAATGAGCAAAGTACTACTTTATTGCTTTTCTTAATTCTTATAATATAATCTATGAAATAAATCCAAATTTACAGGTCTCTTCAGAGGGCTTTTATTTTATGCAGCTGGTGATGTATTTTAGCGTAATTCTAGCACAGCTGTATTTTTATTGTTATTATGGATCTACGCTTTTTGAAGAGGTATATGGTTTTTCATTTTTTAAACATTTGTAGATAGATTCTAAAATTTTTAGAGTAATAACCTTACGAATGCCATATACATGGGTCGCTGGTACGATTATGACACAAAATCCAAAAAAGCTCTAATAACTTTAATGGGACGTTCAAGAGAACCCATCACAGTTACTGCCGGAAAAATTCTTGATTTGTCGTTAGCGACTTTTGCAACTGTATTTTTTATTTTGTTTTATTTCTGAGTGTTAATTGTTTACTTATTTTAGATTCTGAGAAGATCATATTCGCTTCTGGCGGTATTAAAAAATTATGAGTGAAGCCAGAAGGAAATAAAAAAAATGTAGTAGTATATGAAAGCGATCAAAATTTCCAGATTAGACAGATTAAGCTGAAAAGGCTAAAAATTCAAAAGAATAGTTTATTCAACCAACAAAGTAATTTATTTTGAGAAAACCGAATTGAGAGTTTCGAAAAAAAAAATTGTATGACGAAATTTAGTAATTTTTTTCTCTAGTTTTTTCATATTCATTAACTGTTATATTGTGATTACCTTAACTACCATTTTTGCACAATAAAGCCCAAATAGCACATAATTATTACCTCGAATGTTGCAAATAAAACTCTTAAAGCAACCGGTAAACCCTGTAGATCCTTGCAGATATTTATCACTGCGTTCATAAGAGAAAATCTTCTCAAAAACACTATCAAAAAATTTCGCTTTTTTACTTATTGGTAAAACATTTATCCGTTTATATCACACTAAGGATACCAACGTAGCGATCCCCGGCCTATTAAAATGTGTCCCACAAGGTACTGTATTAGGACCCAATCTATTTCTTGCGTACATATCTGACCTTGTGGAAACGGAAATTCCACTAGTATCTCATCAAATTATCCAAGACCACTTCGGTTAGACAAAAACGACCCAAATATGCCTTGTTATGTTCTATTCATGTTCCATTCGGTTAACCAGATAATTGAGCTCGGTGTCATACTTGACAATGAATTATCTTTTTCTGAACACGTTACTCATTTGGCTGTGATAATCCAAATACTCCGATAAAATTACACATGTTGAGTATGGTAGAAATCAGACGAATGTCGCTTGGTACACACTTTGCTATGAGAGGAGTGTCGGAGAATAAATGTTCAAATTTCAAGTCATAAAACATATAAGTGACAACGCAAAATCAGCATAAAATCTTTACTACTTACTTAATTGATAATGTTCAAAGTGAAAAAAATGACATTAATTTTTAAATTTTTCAATTTCGCGTCTTCCAAATTTTTCAGTTTTTTGATTTAAAATTTATCAATTTTGCAATTTTTCGATATAACAATTTTTCATTTTTGGATTTTTTTGTTTATTAACTTTTAATTTTTCGATTTTTCAAGTTCTAGATTTTTACTTTTCACTGTCCTGACCTTTAATTTTCATTTTCTCGGTTTTATAATTTTTGGTTTGCACAATTTTTCAAAATTTTAATCTTTTAATTTTCATTTTCTCGATTTTATAATTTTTCGTTTGTTCAATTTTTCAAAATTTTAATCTTTGATTTTCAGTTCCTCTGCTTTCCAGTTTTCAATTTTTCCAATTTTCTTAATTTTTGGAGCTCCCAATTATCCGATTTTCCGTTTTCTTAATGTTCAATATTTCAATTTAATAGTACTTCGTCTTCTCAATTTTTAATGTTTCGATTTTTCAATTTTTCAAGTTCTTGGTTTCTAACTTTTATTAGGTTTTTCTAATTTTTCCATTATATATTATGCAGTTTTTCAGTTTTTAATCTTTCGATTTTTCGATTTTTCAACTCCTTTATTTTTATTTTTCATTTCATGTTGAATATGGCAGAAATCACAGGAATGTCGCTCGGTACACACTTCGCTATGAGAGGAGTGTCCGAAAATAAATGTTCAAAATTGAAGTCGTAAAACACATAAATGACAACACAAAATCAGCATAAAATCCCGTTTCTCTAATCGAATTCACGATGACAGTTACTTAACTGATAATGTTCAAAGTGAATCAATGGTTAACATTAAATCTTGAATGCTGCAATTTTCGACTTTAATTTTTAAATTTGTCAATTTTTTGATTTACAATTTATCAATTTTGCAAGTTTTCGATACAACTTTTCATTTTGGCATTTTTTAGTTTTTCAATGTTTAATTTTTGGATTTTTCCAGTTCTAGATTTTTACTTTTCACATTCCTGACCTTTTAATTTTCATTTTCTCGATTTTATAATTTTTCGTTTGTTCAATTTTTCAAAATTTTAATCTTTGATTTTCAGTTCTTCGGCTTTCCAAATTTTAATTTTTTCAATTTTCTCAATTTTTGGAGTTTGCAATTATCCGATCTGCCGATTTTTTAAATTTTCAATATTTCGATTTAATAGTACTTCATCTTCTCCTTTTTTTAATGTTTCGGTTTTTCAATTTTTCAAGTTCTTGCTTTCCAAATTTTAGATTTTTTCTATTTTTCCATTATATACCGTTCAACATTTCAATCTTTGATTTTTTAAAAATTCCGACTTTCCAATTTTTTTAATTTTCAATATTTCGATTTAATAGTACTTCATCTTCTCAATTTTTAATGTTTCGGTTTTTCAATTTTTCAAGTTCTTGGTTTCCAAATTTTAGATTTTTCCAATGTCTCCATTATATACCGTTCAAAATTTCAATCTTTGATTTTTTAACTATTCGGTTCTCCAATTTTTAATGTTTCCAACTTTCTCAATTCTCTGATTTCTCAATGATCCGATTTTCAGATTTCTTTAATTTTAAATATTTCGATTTCATAACATTCCATTTTTTCGATTATGCACTTCTTCGATTTTGGAGTTTCTCAATTTTTAATCTTTCGATTTTACGATTTTTCAAGTTCTTGATTTTTACTTTTTATTTCATGTTGAATATGGTAGAAATCACAAGAATGTCGCTCGGAAAAAATTTCTCTTTGAGAGGAGTGTTTGAGAATAAATGTTCAAAATTCAAGCCGTAAAACACATGAATGACAACACAAAATCAGCATAAAATTCCCTTTTCCTCTTCGAATTCACGATGACATTTACTTAACTGATAATGGTTAAAATTAAATCTAGAATACTGCAATTTTCGACTTTAACTTTTCAAATTTTCAATTTGTAGACTTCCGAATTTTTAATTTTTTTGATTTACAATTTATCAATTTAGCAATTTTTCGGTACAACAATTTTTCATTTTTGCATTTTTCAGTTTCTCAACTTCTAATTTTTCAATTTTTCAAGTTCTAGATTTTTACTTTTCACTTTCCTGGTCTTTTAATTTTCATTTTCTCGTCTTTATAATTTTTCGTTTGCTTAATTTTTCAAAATTTTAATCTTTGATTTTCAGCTTTCCAATTTTTAATTGTTTTAATTTTCTCAATTTTTGGAGTTCTCAATTATCCGATTTGCCGATTTTTTTATTTTTCAATATTTCGATTTAATAGTATTTTCTCTTTTCAACTTTTAAGTTTTCCAACTTTTAATGTTTCGATT